AAATCTACTGTTATTCCAACTTCACAATTCTTTTTAAGAAAAATAGTGAAAATAGATTTGGAGAGACTTTTGAACACTTTTTTAGTGCAAAAATAATAACAAAACAATACCACCTCTAGAAGTGGTATTTGGTTTTAAAAAAAAAGTCCAAAAAAGCATGCCAACAACTGGTTCAATTTTTTCTTTTCCTTCTCGTCTTTCTATCACTTTCAATTTTCTCTCTTCCTTCTTGTCTTTCTATCTCTCTCGATCTCGATTTTACTTTCAAGTTCTCTCTCACTCTCTCATATCAAGCATTCTCAAGTATCCAATCGAATCCACTTGTAACAACAAAGAGTACTTGCTAATAATTGGAGAGCAACAATAGCAGAGAACATGTGGACAAATGCTATGAATATGGAATCATGATGCTATACATTTTATGTTATATCTTTATATTGTTTTTTATTATTTCTATTGACTTATTGAGACTTGAGACTACTGGTTATTGATTGATCATTAAATTGAATACAGAGGTAGAGGTACGTCCAAAAATTGTGAGTCATGTGACACGTCGTATATTTGGCAAAGGAGAGGATAACAAAAGAGAAAAGCATTTGATTTATAAGTTTTTGATAGGTTTTAGACTATGGTTATATTGTAGAGTACATTTGATTTAGAATTGTGTGAAAAAAAAAAAAAAAAAAGACAATTTCGTAAGAGTAATACAAATATGGGTTTCTTTATGATTGGGCCATTCAAGCCCATCGAGTTTAGTATTGATCCGCTAATCTATTGATAGGCCTTTAAGATATAAAATGTTGCATAACAATAAAACAATATAAAAAAATAAAACGTAAACAAATAAAATAAAATAAATGACCTTTACAGGTTTCGTAAGGAAAAAAAAAAAAACAATTTCTCTGCTTTGAAGAAGAAGAGCGATCCATCGTCACCAGTTTCAGATTTCCAGATTCTGGCAAATTACACCTGTGAAATCTTCAACGATGGCGACTGAGAATCTCACCGATAAGAATGTTGTTTTCAGAAAACTGAAATCAAAATCCGAGAACAAGGTTAGGGTTTTCTCCATTCCCAATTTGAATTTGGGTGTGGTTTCGATCAGATCTGGAGCTTATACGACCTAAATATCCCGATTTGATATCTGATTTTACTTGGCTTTTTAGGTTTGCTTCGATTGTAGTGCGAAGAATCCAACTTGGGCTTCGGTTCCTTATGGGATCTTTCTATGCATCGATTGTTCTGCTGTTCATCGAAGTCTCGGTGTTCATATTAGCTTCGTCAGGTAAAACTTTGGATCTTGAGGAACACAAATTTGAACTCTTTAGGCTTAATTATAGCTTCAAGGACCTGTAGCAATGTTTCACCTTCTGGCTAGGGTTTAAGCCTGTGATTAGGAAGAGATTGACTTTTTTTCCTATTGACTATTCTATTTATAGCATTTTACTTTGTTGTAGATCTTCTAGTTGATTATAAGACCATATTGTATACACACATTCATTGTTTTTGTGAAGGTCAACGATCTTAGACTCGTGGAGTCCTGAGCAGCTAAGAACAATGATGTTTGGTGGGAACAACCGAGCTCAGGTGTTTTTTAAGCAACATGGATGGAATGATGGTGGCAAAATTGAGGCTAAGTATACTTCAAGAGCTGCTGATTTGTATAGACAAACACTTGCTAAAGAAGTTGCTAAAGCTATGGCCGAAGAAACTGTTTTACCGTCATTATCCTCTGTTGCTACTTCTCAGCCAGTGGAATCATCTGAAAATGGGTTTACTTCTGAATCTCCAAAAGAGAGTTCTTTGGTTAAGCAAGAAGCAACTGTTGTCTCCACTTCTTCACCAAAAGCTTCTCAGAAAGTTGTTGCTAGTACGTTTAAGAAACCCCTTGTTTCGAGAAAGACAGGGAAGACTGGTGGTCTTGGTGCTCGTAAGCTTACTACTAAGGTAAAGAGTTTAGTTGTTTTAAAGAATGAAAAGCTCGCGTTGGTTTTGATTAGATTTTTCCTTGTTGTATATGTAGCCAAAGGATAACCTCTATGAGCAGAAGCCTGAAGAGCCTGTACCTGTGATTCCTGCTGCTTCTTCAACTAACGACACATCATCAGCTGGATCATCATTTGCCTCTCGATTTGAGTACTTTGATGATGAGCAATCTGGTGGGCAAAGTGGCACAAGAGTGCTTAGCCATGTTGCTCCACCAAAGTCATCGAATTTCTTTAATGAATTTGGAATGGACAGTGCTTTCCCCAAGAAGTCAAGCTCAAGCTCATCCAATGCTCAGGTAAAGAAAAGTTGCATTTTTAAAAGAACTAAAGAAAGAGATAGAAATCGAATCTTAATTCAACTGTACATTTTTTACTTAGGTTGAAGAAACAGATGAAGCAAGAAAGAAGTTTTCAAACGCCAAATCGATTTCCTCTGCCCAATTTTTCGGAAACCAGAACAGAGATGCTGATCTGGACTCAAAAGCTACCCTTCAGAAATTCTCGGTATGTCCTAAACCAATAAACTTTTCTTGAGTCTCATTGTTCATACATACCTAATGCGATTACAAATCTAACAGGGCTCAGCAGCTATTTCAAGTTCTGATCTTTTTGGCCACGGACCAGATGATTCCAACATCGATATCACTGCAAGCGATCTCATCAACCGAATTTCTTTCCAGGTAAAGTTCTGAAGTAGAATCAAATTCTTCAGCTTTTCTTAACTCTGCTTATAATTTTTTTCTGATTTGACTTTGTTTATGCACAGGCGCAGCAAGATATGTCATCTATTGCTAACTTAGCTGAGGAAACTAAGAATAAGCTCGGAACATTTGCCTCTAGTATATTCAGTGATCTTCAGGATAGAATGCTGTAAGAAACACACACAAATCTTGTCTTTCGATTTACAGAGAACAAATTGTCGGATATAAATGTCATTTTTACTTTTGGTTTGTAGTTGAAAGAGTGATTTTTGAGGTAAATTGTTAAATGTGGAATTTGATCATTTGATATGGATATGGTAGTATATGTTTACAGTAGTATGTATGGTATTGTCGTATTGAATGTCAATTTAATCTCTTGATATGGTTGTATAATTTTGCTTTTTAAAATAAGTTGAAATAAAGAACTCAGCATGTGAACTTAGGAAGAACTTATTGGCCAATCAAAACTTTTGTTGAAAATAAGGATTATTGAAAAAGTGAGCAGATTGATATTTTTGATCATATCGGAACTTTTATCAACTAGTTTCATACTTTTATTTTTACTAGATCCTGATCCGCACATACGTGCGGGGTTTCATATTTTAAAAAAATTTCTAACAAATTTTAATTCAATATAGATTATTTGTTGTTTCTATGATATATATTTTAGTGTATTAGATCTGAATTCACACGTATGTGCAGAGATATCTTTATATATATAAATTTTTATATAGATTTTAAAAATATAAAATATTTTGTTGTGTTAGTGAACTTCATAATAGTATAAATATTATATAGTTAGAGTAATGAACGGAATTCAGTTGCGTTAGTGCATAGTTATATTTTAAGATTCGGACCTACACGTACGTGTGAAATTATATTTAAGAAATAATTAAGATATAATTTAGTTGCAAAAGTTAAATGATGTTACGGTTTTTATTTTCTAAACTAATCAAAACATTTCTAACAGTTTGATTACATGTGTTATATAGGATATGGATTCGGTTTTAGTTTGGTTATTTCATGTATATTAGCTAGGCATAACTATATTGGAACGGGAAACCTATCCCGTCCTGTATCTGTCATAAATTCTTCGTTCTATAACCCGTCTCGTATACGTGAAATAAATATATGACGGTCCCGTATCCGGCATAAATAGAATATGTGTAAATGAAAACGTACGTACAGAATTATGTGTGTAAACAAATTTATTTTATATAGTGCTCATAAGCCGAACACATACCAGTTGGGTATTTAGTTTGATTTTTAATTTATGTTCTCATCTCGTCCCGTCTCGTAATTCCTATTTTCATTTCATTCCATTAAATTTATAAACCAAATTCTTGTTTGCTTACCTTTAAATACCATACAATACATACTGTGAGTTTTGCAGATTAATATATATGTTGTTAAAATAACAAATATATTTTAAATTTTTTATTAATGTTTCTTTCCTTAGCTAAATTATGCATATTATTCTTTTCATTGTTTAATCATAATTAATTTGATTTTTGGACTAAAAATAAAAATTTGAGATACATCTCTAAAAGGGATATGCTATTGCTGCATAATTTGTTTTGAATACAAAATATATATTTAGTTTACAATATTTCGTGCAATATTTTAGGGATTTATTTAAGGAAGATTCGGTTGAAAAAAAACGCAAAATAATTTGGAAATTAATATGTACAATGCATTGTTTAGATATTTCCGAAACTTGCTCTAAACGAAGGCCATGATGATACTTATTTTAAATTTATTATTATTTGAGTTTATTTCATAGTAAATATAAATATTTGTTAATATCTAATATCGTTTTTCAAAAATTGTGAAATAAAATTTTGTTTTATATTTCAAAATTTATGAAAATATTATAACAAAACTAAATCTTTAAATTTGTATTTGATTTTCTTATGAAATTTCAAATTCAATATTAAAATCCTCCATTGATAAATCTTTTAAGGCATAGTATTTTGAATTAAAATGATACTAATTTCTTTTTTTTTGATATAGAATAGTCTATTAGGATTGGTTTATATAAAATTTTAGTTGGATATCAAATCTTAGTTTTTCAATTCTCATTGGTTAAAAAATTTTTAGAAATTAATTTCAAATTTTCGTCCATAATTAATAAGAGAGAGAAAATTAGTTTATTTTTTTGGAAATTAATAATTATTTTAAAGAATTTAACTATTTTGTATTTAAATATATTAATCTACTTAACATTTTTGAAGTACAAATTTGCTCAAAGCCAATCGGGTCGGGTTTTTTAAAAGATTTTGACCCGATTAGATTTTTTGACCCGACTCACTGGCCAATCAAAACTCTCGGATTCTTTTAAATGCGACTTTCCAAAAAAAAAATCAACTAATTCGACTAAATATCCTCTTAATTACATTCCTAATCTAACAAATCCTAACAATGGAATCTCTTCCACAAATTTTGACTATTATTATGTATAATCTATTTTGGTAAGATTTTTTCTACAAAAATAAACAACAATAATTACAACATTAATTATACGATTATAACAACTAAACATGGAATCCTAACAATATACTTTAATTTCTGACGATTTGTTTATCTCATTGTATCCCATTTATATGCTAAATATATTCTACAAATCTATTCAGTTTCCTAATAAAATTGAACAATATAATGTCTACATTCAATATACACAACATCAACTGGAAATGTCTAATAAATCAAACTATTTGTTCTTAATTTTGACGAAATATCTATAAAGCATATTCTATATATTATTGAATCAAAGATTTGTAAAGATATTCTATACTTTCTCAACACGAATTTCTTAAATTCTCTAACCTAAACGCCAAGAGACTATGACATCTATAAATATGTTTTCGCTAACAGAGAATTACACATCAGCACAAAGTTTACCTTTTAACACGATAAGAGAAGCATTTCCAGAAATCAATGGTTGCTTCATTTTCCAATCTCAGAGATTTGACATTTGAGACCTTACAAAGCCGCATGGTGCGTCCAAGTTTAAGAACCTGCATTCATGGACAATATACTGTCAAAAAAGGGAGACACTTGATATGGTCTAGACTGATGAGAAAGTAAGTTTCCATGTACTAAGATTTGATTCTAAACCTTTTTCTTATCAACTAACTTGATATGTTGCATGTCTTAGGAAGCAAAGTGTTTTCTGGTCGAATTTAAGAATATAGAGGTAAGAGTTCGTATATCCTACTCTTTCAAACATTCTAAATGTTCTTAATAAGTAAGAAATCTTAACTTGATGACCAGCTTTAATGCTGGTAGAAAAATATTTTTATCTACCACGTTTAATAGTTTCCAGTGGATGAAAATCTTTATATTCCAGAGGTGGAAGAATTCAAAACAATGTAAGCATCTGGACTAGAGGTTTGACTTATTTGTATCTCCAATTAAACTAATTTAGTTTGTCTCTTGATTCTAATTTGCAGGCTCCAAAGCAAAAAACTATCAGGAAGACTGATTGAAAAAAAAGAAATCAAAGAGAGAAGATCAAAAACGGTAGATAAAACGAAAAAATCGAGAAAGAAACCTTTTAGGAATGATTGATGATGATACGAGAAGCCATTGTTGTGCAATCGGAGCTGCTTTAGCCGATCCCAATTCGCAACTGCAAATGAAAACAAAAATGGTAGGAATTTCGTTAGGGTTTTTCTCCTTCCTTTCCCTTAGATATCTTCTTGTCGAAGAGTGGACTGTTTTGTTTGTAACATTGTTGACATGGCTTGCATTGAACCCAAGTTAGGTCACTTCCCGTGTCAGCGATGGCAAGGACTTTCGACGGAGGAGTACCGATTGAGATACTCATGAAGTATTCGCCGCCATTTGAGATCAACCCGGATTGGAGGTCGGTTTTGGTATTGAAACGGCGAGAGCGTGAGATTGAGCGGAGGAAAGCAGCGTTGAGACCGTCAGAGACGGTGTGGTGAGGGTTGTAAAGTGGAGAATGAGGAGAGTCACTGTGGATTAGCTCAACGGTTAGGTTTTCCCTGTTAGCTGAAGAAGTGGAAGCGAAGAAGATGGTTTTTGATTATGGAATTGTCGAATTATCCTCAATTCAATTTTGAAACAGTAAATCTGTGGATGTAAGATATGATCCGATCTAGAACTCACCAATCGTTGAAGAAAAACAGAAAATCGCAGTCTACAAGTGAAGGATCACTTCGAAGAAGCTGGGATTCAATGATGAACACGACCGAGAGAAAGAGTCAAAGAGACGAAGATAATTTGTTTGATTGATTATGTTTTTAGAATTGACAAAATGCCTTACATGTACCAGATTGTGTCGTCTCAACATATTGTACCAACACCATTTTATACTGCCGGTTAAATCGCCTCCAACGAACTCTCCGCCACCGTCAAAGCTAGCGTCTTCCTCCATCTCTCTCTCGGAAATAACCATTAAAAAACAAGGGACATGACGATTGCCAAACGCATCGTTTAGTATTTGTTGGGCTACGCTTTGTGATTTACATGGGCCACTTCCCACTTTCCCATTTCTATTGTAAATACTAAATACAAGATTTGCATATTAAAAATCCTATATATTCATTTCTATGGTAAATGCAAATCGAAAAACCCTATATATTCACTTCAACTGACATTCCAACTTCAATAAGGTTTTTTTTTATTTATTTTTAATTATTTAAAAATTATAATTAAAATGTGGCATAATATTATTATTAAAATATTTATATATATAGTTATAATTTTATAATATGTTTTAATATCGGTGGTATATTATTTTTACGGGTTGGTCAAAAAATACATACTAATTTAAAAATATATATATATTATGGAAACCATTTGAAAGCAAACTTTTAAATTGAGTCGAATTATATGTCTTTTAAATAAAAATATTATTAAAAAAAATAATAAAATGATGTTTAATTTCACAGGACGGGATTATATGGTGGGACGGGTTTGGGTCGATATTAATAGGAGACAATATACCACGGGTGAAATCTTAGAAATAATAAATCAAAATACAATTATACAATCTTAAACACAAAACAAAACAAATACAATTTAAAATTTTTATTTTTTAGTTACAGCATATATAATCTGCGGTGTACAATAAAAAATATTCTATATAACAAATTTATCAGTTTATAAATAGATAAAAAAATCATATAATTAACCCGCGGTGTACCGCGGGTCATATCCTAGTTTTGTGATTACTATTGTACTCTTAATGAAGTTATTTAAAAACACTAAAAATCAATGGCATCTTTTGTAATATTTTACCCTTTATAAGGTTGTTTAATATGTAGTGATTCCCAATTAATAATATAGATGTTAGATTTATTTTAATTTTTAAAAATTGATTATGGGCATTTACTGTAAAAGAGTCAAAAAGTGTTTTAGATGAAAGTAGAATATATACTTCTGTGGAAACTTAAAGAAATTTGAGCAAAGTTTGGAAACCTATATTATAAAAGAGATGAAAACGTTATATTTGGGCAACTATAAAAAGAAAATTTTACTTCTTTTGGGATCTATTAATACGTTCAATTTGGGAAACTATATATATATATATATATATATATAAAGATATAGAAATGTTAGAAAAGTTTATTTCCATCATTTCTAATAAAGAAATTAATTAATCTAGCTTTTAGAAACAAACTAACAAAAATATGATGTGGCATTCAGTAACTAGATAAATTTACAAAAAATATTGTTTGGAAAAAATTAAATTTATCTAGATTTCAGGAAAAAATTGTAAAAGTAACTGTATAAAACTTTTTTGTTAACAGAAAGAAAAGCAATACATTAAATTTCAGTAAATTAATTAAACAAATTAACAATCAACTTTGCGTTTTCCCTATTTGTTCCTTCCTCCTTCAACTATTTAACGAAAAAAAAACTTATAATCATAGATTAAAAATCAAATTATAAAATCTGGTTTTGTCAATTAAACTTGTTTAAAAAAGAAATAAAATAATTTGGTCAAAGAGTCTCTGAGAAGCCGAATCCAATTGCGAACCATGGTTGAGTTAACCACTTAACCTAATCAAAGTCTAATTACGCTTATTTTATCTATCTTTGAAAAGGTCAAAAGAAACCCTAAATCCCCAAAAAAATGGCGGCTTGATTTTCCCTCCCAATTCAAACCTTCTTCTCCACTCCAATTCTCATCTTCCCTCCAAATCGAATCGATTCGCTCTCAGATTTCGAAAATTTCACAACTTTTTTGGAGCGAAACTCAAAATTTTCTTCTTTCATTAGTCACAGATCGATTTACGAGATGCAGAATTCTCCCAAAAACTAAACCCTAGCGTTCCACTTCTTCTCTTTTCCTTCAATTCTTCAGAAAATCCGATCTGGGTTTCGTTGTTAATGGCGGAATTTAGTGACCCACCACCTTCAAATCTCTCTTCTTCTCCTAAATTAGCTAAACCCAACCAAACCCTAGATGAGTCCACACCAACCGCTCCAATTCGAGACCTTGTTACTCACTCGCTCTCTCTTTCGTCACCGATTCGCCAGATTCAACCTTCTTCTCCGGCGAACGCAGATGAGTCTTCCTCTTCTCCGTCAGATAAAACCCTAACTACACCACCAGCTCAGATTTCGCCTGTTAGCAACAACAATTTTCTCCAAATCACGAGTACGTCAGATTCGTATCTTTATCGTCCACCAAGGAGATACATAGAGAATAGTGACGGTCAAAGCGACGACGATGACCTTAATAAGATCGAGCCAACAAAACCACTTCAGCTCTCATGGTGGTATCCGAGAATTGAACCCACCGGTGTTGTATGTTTCTCTTTGTCCCTTTTATCTGATTTTGTTTTTGGTATCAAATTTAGCTTTATATCCAAAATGATGTTTAATACAAATTTTTTCAGGGTGCTGGATTGTATAATTCAGGCAACACTTGTTTCATAGCTTCTGTGTTGCAATGCTTCACTCACACTGTGCCTCTTATTGAGAGTCTTCGTTCATACATGTACCAAAACCCTTGCAACTGTAAGATGATTGCTTTACGATGTTTTGCTTTGAGTTGGTGCCTTGTTTTGTTCATGGTCTTAATCTTTTAGTTCCGTTGGGTTTTCAGGTGGCAATGAGAAGTTCTGTGTTATGCAAGCTCTTCGAGATCATATCGAGCTTGCTCTGAGGTCTTCAGGACATGGAATAAACATTGATAGATTTCGTGATAACCTGACTCGTATCCTTTTTCGATTGTTTTTTTGTTTATACGTGTCTATAATTTTGTGTTTCTGTTTCTTCATATGAATGATTTTATCCTTAACCCATCACAGATTTTTCATCTGATTTTATGATAAACCACCAAGAAGATGCACACGAGTTTCTACAGTCGTTTTTAGATAAGCTAGAGAGATGTTGTTTAGATCCTAAGAATGAGCCTGGCTCTATCTTATCTCAAGATATGAACATTGTTGACAATGTCTTTGGTGGCGGTCTCATGAGTACGGTAAGAAATCGTTATTACATTGCCATACTATTAATCTAGTGTTGAAGCAGTTTTCATATATGTATAATGACTCTTGGAAATATGTTTGGTCTATTCCTTTTTCAGCTTTGTTGCTGCAATTGCAATTCTGTTTCCAACACATTTGAACCTTCTCTTGGATGGAGTCTGGAAATTGAAGATGTTGATAACCTCTGGAGTGCTCTAGAATCCTTTACACGTGTCGAAAAACTTGAGGACCAGTTAACATGTGATAACTGTAAGGAGAAAGTCACAAAGGAGAAGCAACTTAAGTTCGATCAGTTGCCGCCGGTTGCTACATTCCATCTTAAGAGATTCAAGAATGATGGAGTTACTATGGAGAAGATCTTCGAGCATGTTGAGTTCCCTTTGGAGCTGGATTTGCTCCCTTTCATGAGCAGTAACCAAAATCCTGAGGTATGTGAAAATTTCAGACCTTTTTGTTTTGTAAATCTTGAGACTTTTGAGTCTTAATAACCAATTTTGTATCTTCAGGTTTCCACAAAATATCATCTTTACGCCTTTGTGGAGCATATTGGGATTGGAGCAACTTTTGGTCATTACTCCACTTATGTGAGATCAGCTCCTGAGACATGGCATAATTTTGATGACTCCAAGGTAATATAATATAGTCTCTTAGTCGGTGATTTCATTTCATTTGTGTGGATTAGTCCTCCCTGAAGGGCTTCAATAAATTTTAACTTTCTTTATGTTTTTTTTTGGAAACTCTGGCAGGTCACCAGAATCAGCGAAGACAGAGTTCTATCCCGTCCTGCGTATATATTATTTTATGCAAGAGAAGGAACTCGTTGGTTTTCCAGTACTTTTGAACAGTTGAAGGCAGTGTTTGAAGCTACTCCGTTACATTTTTCACCAAACTCAGTGCTTGAAAACAGTTATGATAGTGTTGGTAATTCTAACAAAGACTGCAACGACTCGGGGGGAGTGTCGATCCCTGATGGAAAGTGGTCAGATTTTTGCTGTCATGAGCCAAAAGAAGAAGTGTTCCATTCAGCCGAGTCTAACAACAGTGAAGATTCTTCAGCCATGATTGATGCTCTCGAGTCACCTGAGGCTGATGAATCTGAGAAACCTTTTGTTGAAACCTCTCAACAGAGAGAACCTGAGTCATGTCCAGCTGGAAACAAAGCTAACATTGATGAATCTGAGAAGCCATTTGCTGAGACCTCTCAACAGAAAGAACCTGAGCCAAGTCCAGCTGCTGACAGAGCTAGCATTGATGCCCCTCATGTCCCTCTGCTCAAGGTTCAGAATCAAGACATATCTCCAAAACGCAAAGGTACTATCTCGTACTATGTATTTTTAATAGCTTATCTGTGCAGAATACTAAGAAAGATAAGAGATTCTGATAGATTCAGATAAAGTATTGTCCTTTAGTTATCTGGTTACAAGAAGAATCAATCTGAACTAGAACCTATAACAAACTAGAGTGTATTGATCTATCAACAAAGCCCTTATACAGTGTATGTGTAACTCTATGTACAGCTGGTGAGAGAGCTACGCTTGGTGGACCGAAGCGCAAGGTTCAAAAAACAAATTCCCATCCGAAACGCCAAGGTACCATGTGTTTTGATAGCTTTAGTCTCAATTATAGTAAAAATGTGGGAGAGTTTTATGTATTTAAGTGGCGAGAATACGAAAGATCCTAAGTCTGAGTGTGTATGATTCTGTAACAGGAAGCTTTCAGATTCAACGTGCGCATTTGAAAACTAAGAACCAAGAGGAAACTCGTAGAACAAAGCGGGCGGCCTATAGAAGCAATGTTGCTGATTCTGCTCCAGATCCTAAGTACATAATTCATGCTTATTCATATCTCAACAGGGTCCAGACACCTCGCGCTCGAATGCTTGCTAATGCTTTGGCTGGTTCTCCGACCAAGAAAAGGAAAATCTCAACAGGGCCCAGACACATGAAAAGATCAACTATTAAACTTTGAAGAGTTAGCTATTAGAAAATGAAAAGTTGTTCCTTTGGTTTTTGTGTTTGGGGTTTTCTTGTGAATACAACTCTGATCAATTTTGTTTTGAGACTCCAACCAAAAATTCTTAAGGTTATATATAACATTGCTCTATAGATTATGCTTTCGATGATAAAATGACAAGACAATAAAATATTCAATTATTAGGAAAATACAACACAACATTCAATAATAATGGATACAAAATGTTTAGAAATAGGCATTTAAATTTGTATACCCCTCCACAGATTATCTTTTATTTTTCAGCGTTTCTTTTGGCTGATCTTAAGTTGGTTTCTTCATGGGGCATAGCCTCCACCGCCGCCGTGACCGCCACCACCACCGTGACCTCCGCCTGAACCACCTCCATGTTCACCACCATAACCACCGCCTCCTCCTTCTCCTCCTCCACCGCCACCACCATATCCTCCTGCTGCACCTCCTCCATAACCACCTCCTTCACCAGCACCACTTCCATATCCACCTCCATGTGCTCCTCCTCCGCCGTAAGCTCCTCCTCCTCCACTTCCTCCACCGCCACCACCTCCATAGCCTCCAGCACCACCGTGAGACCCTCCACCACCAGCTCCTCCTCCTTCACCGCCTCCGTAAGCACCACCATGAGCCCCTCCTGCTGATCCTCCACCTCCTCCTCCTCCATGACCACCGCCGCCTCCGTAAGCTCCACTTCCATACTCACTTCCACCGGCGCCACCACCTTCACCAGCTCCGTTTCCATAACCACTAGCATGCTCTCCTCCAGCACCGTAAGCTGATCCTCCACCGCCTCCGCTACCACCACCTCCACCACCAGCATGACCACCAATTACACCACCAGCTCCTTCACCACCGCCACTTCCATAACCACTAGCTCCTCCTCCGCCGCCATATGCAGCTCCACCACCACCACCACTACCTCCACCACCACCACCAGCATGACCACCATAACCACTAGCCGCTCCACCATAACCACCACCTCCTCCTTCTCCTCCTCCACTAGCATAACCACCGGAAGAAGCAGCTCCACCACCGCCTCCACCATGCCCACCACCACCACCACTAGCATACCCTTCAGCACCTCCATATCCACCACCAGCTCCTTCTCCACTACCACCACCATAAGCACCACCACTCACTCCTCCTGCACCGCCACCACCACCATGTCCTGCACCGCCACCACCACCATGACCGGCAGCTTCTCCGTAGTGCAAAAGATTACGGCTTGTGGCGTAGCAAATGCTAACACCGAGTATAAGAAAAAAGACGGTTGAGAAAGCTTTGAGAGAAACCATTGTGTTTGAATTTGATGAATAAAAATGGAAAGGCTCAGTGAGGTATTTATAGTAATTGGGGTTTGGTATGTTAAGCCGCGTCCACTGTAAAAAAGAGTGGTTGAATATTCACATGCTTACGACCAAAAGTGCAGATTTACTGTCCCTACCATTACTCCTAATTTTGGTTTCAATCTCTTAGTTCTTCTTTAATTCTTAGTTATACTATAGCAATCTCCAATGACTAGCTCTGGTCAAATCTCAATCGTCAAAAACAAGGTCCGCTCACAAATATTATGGCCTTGTATAATATTTAAAATTTAGACTCTATATATAATTTATTTTTATTTTATGTATATAATTGGATGAATTAAGTAGAGGGAACTATATACCTAAGAAAAAAAAATGTGACTTATATTGTAAAGAGTTTAAGTCTTGTGTATATAATAAATTCAAAGAGAAAACATACAAAGAGCTACATCTATACTAAAGGCAATGGAGAAGGAGAAGGAAACAATGTTTTGACACGCCCTCTCTCAAGATGTGCGGTCGCGGGTCGGAAGTGAGTCCAATAATCTTGGAACAGCTAGAGGAAAGGAATGAGTCCGGACTTAGGTAGATGTTTTGTAACATTTTCTGCTAGTTGATCTACGTACGTACATGACGTGAGTGACATAGTTAATAGTTTGTTCGGGAATGGACCAGTTCGCAAATAAAGTGATAATAGACCGCAACGTGGTTCATGGAAGATAGACTTGACAGATGGATTCATGGATATGTGGGCGTCCTGATGTTGATATTTTATGTTATGTAGACGTCTATTTTATCAAGTGATGTCCTAATAGAACTAAGTCTTAAACTAACCTCCATCTAATATAATAAACGTCTACACGAAAAAATGTTGCAGAAAAAAAGTTGTATGCCCTTATAAAAACTAAATGAATGATAAAAATGTTCAAGAAAATGTCGTTGCTATTTTGAATTTTCTTTAATAACATCATCTATTTGGCCACTGGTGTAATTACTCTAAATATCTTAACAAAAAAAGATTTGGACCCTAGCTAAAATATACATAAATTTGCTTAATTCTATTACGGATCTTGGGCGAATGCACATGTGAGCACTTCCTCTAGAACGACGATATAGTATGAACTATACGTCTAGAGTAGTTTTATACTTTTGGTAACCATTCTATATAAGTCTTTAACTAACCACAATTAGTTTGGTTTTTAGCACTATAAGTATATGAAGAAAGAATATTGTTATTAATTAATATACATTGTTTTTGTTGTTAAAAATTGATTGAAGAGTCGTTAGAATACCATTAACAAGTCACAATATCGAGAAGTATAGTGTTTGAGTATTCCTTTTGACTTGTTTCCTCCATTACTCAGCTTAGCTTCTAATAACAACCCATTTAATTATTTCCAAACCAAACCCTCTTTTCTTTATTCTTTTACCTCTACCTAAAAATCTTGTTTTGCATTGTCATAAAACTAAACTTTCACTTCTTTTACATGAAATGTGAATTTTGACAAAAACAATCAACAAACATGTTTTAAAACTAAATTACTCAATTCAATAGTTTGAATAAGAAGACTGTCTAATATACTCAAATAAAACAAAATTAATCGATTTAATCCACAAAAGTTAATATAGATATATTTAAATTAGGGTTATGAATAACAAGTCACAATCTCTTGAATTACGGTCTTGAGTAATTCCCTCACCAAATCTTCAAACAACCCTATTATATATCCAAAACCAAATGATTTTTTTTCCTTTATTCTTTTAGCTTTTAATGTCTTGCATTGTTATACAGCTAGGCTCTTATTTTGTTCTACATGATACACATGACATATGCATGACTAATCAAGATTTTTTGGAACTTTCAGTAATTTAGCAAAACTGCTTTCAAATAGATTATTGTGTCGAAATTCAATACCAAATAGACTATTTTTTTTTTTAATATTGGAATGTGAATATAATATAAAATGAAGACTTGAGGTTTATATAGCTAAAACTATCTTGATTATGTAAATACATTAATTCACGTATAGAAGAATGCAGAAACCTATATAAATCTTTAATTATTAGAAAAAAATGCCATATATAAATCCAATAAAAACGCATGCATTAAGAAGAACCTAAATATTTCTAATACCATTTTCCAATGAGAGCTTACTTCTAGAAGATGAAATCAAATCAAGATTATTTTAAGGCACGAAACTTTGGTACAAAAACATTTGTATAGAAAATAAAAAGGATTTTGGTAAGAAAGTACTAGTAACAAATAAAAACACTTAATAATGGGTGTCTTGCGTCGTAGCATTGCCACTAAGAAGACCAATCAAGATTTCGAGTCTTTGGTGCTGTCCAGCCAACGACCACTTCTCTACTTATTATGCCGTAGAGAATACACTGGAATAAAATAATAAATACAAAAATAAGTCAATACATTATGCATTATTTCTAAATAGCATTCAAAAATGCTATCCAAATTTTATGAAATTGACTTTAAATCATTGATCAAATAACCTCATATGTTCCATAAGAATCTTTCAGTTAATCCAATCAAATATATACTAAAATGTCACTAGACTAAACACAAGTTTCGATTCATTTCACTATTCTCATGGGGTTTAAGTTTAGTGTTATGTGTTCGATCAATAACAAAGTTTTGTGTCTACGAATTTCACAAATAATTCATTGGAGAAAAGTGAGTAAACACATTGACAAATGAAGAGCTCAAGCTTTTGGCATTGTCAAAAGGATAAGCACCCAATTTACCCATAATTGGTTCCAGCAAAATACAAATTTGTTCCATCGAGTGAGAGAAATAGAGGAAGGTAATGATGATATATACAATATGTACAAACACATACATATAAATGGGTATATGTAGAGTTTTATACACAAAACACAAAGTGGGAGATCACATGGAATAAAGAAAACACCGTCGTTGTTGAAGAATGGCGTGAAGAAGAAGTAGTAGGACCAGTACTAGTACCATAGTGCTCTCCTTCTTTCACATATCTTCCACGCGTCCCCAAAAAAGCGTAATCACTTAAGTTTTGTCAATCGGATCATAGATCCCACACAATGTCCGATCCTATTGAGTTGATGATCAAGAATGTATGTTCGTTTATATCATCAAGTACAATGTACATGTTTAATAGTTTAAATTTCATAGAGTAACAGTTTAAAACATCGCGGTTACTATCAATTATCCTAATCATAACATTTTTGATTAAGTTCTGTCACAAACTTGTTCCTCGTGATCGAACCTTGTGGATACTAGTTCAGTAATTAGTTTGATATATATTGGATCCGATACTTATTTCGGAATTATGTTCGATTTTGATATAATTTTGTGTATGTAGTTAATTTACAAAATGTCAAAAATGTGATAGGTTTGATGGTTTAGTCCGGTCCGTCTGATCCATCTAGTCCATAATAGGTATCGACCTAACGAACCGAGCTTAACCCGAACAAATTTAAAACATACTTAAGATCGTCCACGACGATCTTTAGCTCATTTCTGACTCTTGAAGTATCTAAATTAAATCTTTAATTGGGGGATTTGGAATATTGCAGTTTTGTACATAAGAGTCTTATCGAGATTGCAATAATTCTAGGACAAAGCGATTGGTCCCTCACTGACAATGGAGATCACATAGTCTGACAACAACAACAAAAAGTCCACTAGTAGAAATTTGGTTTCACTCACACATGACACCCTCCAAAAAAAAGAAAGATTGGATCTATGGAAAAAGAATCACTTTGCCTACTTCTTCTCCTACCACCACTTCATAAACAGTAATATGTTACTGCACCACTCACTCTTCATCAATCTCTAATTGTAAACACAGATTCTGACACATGTCATGTAAAATAGTCGAAACACTTCACCTGAATAAAGCTTTCGTAATATAAATCACATAAAAGTTTAAAATCTGGTTGTAGTAAATGGTATTAACACGTGAAAACTTAGTGGAAATAACATTTTCAACACCTGAAAACTTGAAACTTGGTAAATAGTCAAAATGTTCACAAAATGACTACTAAATCATCAAACCAATCGATCATTACACAATTATAGATCTTTATTACAAAGCATAGCATCAAAGATCAAATTTTGAACATACCCATTGAATCAAATTAGTAATCAATCATTACTAGAAGACACAAAAGCTTCAATTTCATCAAGAACAGAGCTAAACCTTGGTCTATCTTTAACCCTAACATACAAAACGCCATCGTTTTCACCAAATTCACACATACCACATTTACCTTTCTTCTCCCACAATCTCTCACCAAATCCACAATGAGCAAAATAAGCCTCAGCCAAAACGACGCCGTTTGGTTCTTCTTCTTCATCTTCATCAATAACTTCAATTGGTAATCTCTCGTAGTGATTCACTCTGATCCCTTCCAATTCATCAAGACGTACAAGCCCATGTTTTGAAACCGAATAAAGCTCACCTCGGATCTTTTGACCCGACCCGGATTTGTTGATTAAGTAAGGAATCCCGTAGAGACCCGTAACGAGCGGGTACTGTAACCGGGTCGTGCGTTGGCCGATGTAAACGGCGTCGTTTGTTGAGATCAGATCTTCTAAAAGGAAATGGTTTCGATGGTTTCTTTTTAACGTTCCGTACACGAAGATGAGGTTCTTGTGTGATCCTCCCATGGCGGCGAGTTTTCTTGAAGTTCTTGGTGACTCGGGATGATTATAACTCGGAGGCCGACTCAGAAGAGAAAAAAGATGCCTTTTTAATCTTCCTTGCTTATTATGGGCTTTTGATTAACATCTATTGGGCCTTTAGGCTTTACGTGATTCAAAATGGTTTTTAATAAATGGGCCGAAATCACTAGACTTTTGTTTTTCTATTAGCTAAGAGACAAATACAAAAAAAAAAGTATGAACAAAAATAAAGTAAACAAAAACACGATGCTTAAAAATGAAGGTTTCGACTCGGTATTCGTTTCGATTCGATTCGAAAAATTCGAATATCTGTAAAATTTTGGAGCAAAGCAAATAGGAAAATGTAGTATTCGTAAAACCGGAGCAAATATCAAATATTTTTTTTTTTAAAGTCGGATATCCGCTTCGATCCGTATTTATATATATATATATATATATATATATATATATATATATATATATATATATTGGTTAATTTTTTATGATATATATGCATATCATAATATAATTTTGGCTTGTATTTGTAAACTCAGTTTTTTTATCCTTTGGACCTATGTTTGTGACACAATTTAATAGTTTTTATTAGTGAAATAGAATTTATTGAAGAAAAAAAATCAATATCCCTTAAAAATAAGAAGTTGGTATCATGCGACGATTTCTCTTTCCCAAATTTTATCTTATTCTTTGTAATTTTACATGCGAGCGCTTAACTTTTTAGGTTTTAATAGGTGCAGAAGTATCGAAGCGGATATCCGCAAATATCACAAAAAAATCCGGATATTCGTTTTTTCGAATATCCGGAAATTTTCGGATCAAAGCAAATCACAAAATCAAGTATTCGGTTGAGACGAATCGAATAACAAATATCCCAAATTTTTCGGATATCCGCTTCGTGCCCAGGCCTAATTCAGATTAGTAATGTCTGATCTCTTATTGTCTTAAACACTTTTTGTAATTTGTCTTCTAGTAAAACTTAATAATATCTGTTCGATAAATGTGGGGCTTTAGTTAAAGGATGGTGTGACACACTAACTACACCAATGAGTTCAAATATCTTTTGTGGTCTTTTTAAACAGAATAGTTAAGAGGTCGGCCAAATTTGTTTGGAGTTTTGACAAATGATTAATTATTTTAATATAGTATATCCTAGTGTTCGAAGAAACAGTACCACCATTTTCTCCTTAATCACACACGTGTATGTTTTCTTTTCAAAAAGTAATATATACAATATACTACTCGAAGCAAACCCAATATCTACAACTTATACTATACATAAATCCATAATCTTTTAGAAAAAATAATCAAAGGAAGAACAAACAGAATTTTGTTTGTTTTACTATAATTTAAATTTGAATATGCACTTTCCTAAATATATAATTAGACATTAATATTTATAAGTCAATCCGTTTTTATCTTCCGGTTACTAGAGTAAAACGTAGAAATAAGTTATTAGCTTGAATAACAAATTCTATTTAAATGAAATATATCAATAAATCCTTTACTAAATTTTCTTTTGGCCACCTATTTATAAAGGCATAAACACATCAAACACCCCTAAAACGAGTTCATAGCGGCACAAAGAATTGATTTGGCGTTTCAACACACATTTTATTTAAAGACGACAAAGAAACGTTTAGCTGAATTTTGGAAAAAAAAAAACCCTACCTTATACACCACTCTCTGTGTTTTAAATTATCTTTGCGCAGAAAGAAAAAACATGCCGTGCAAAAAACGATGTGATTCGTACACAAGACTTGAGAAATGTGAATGGTGTAAGTCAACAGTTGACCCAATAAAAACAGTACTTAACGGTCAATGCATTCAAAGCCGCAAATAGCAACACCAATACCATACACAATGCCGGTTCTATTAACCGGTTGGTTTGCTTCATCTTATAGTTTCACTAAATTTTGGAAAAATCTATCATTAATTGATTAATGTAGAAAATTACATTGATTTGATGCGGCATTTATCTAACTCCAAGCCCATTTCTTCGGTTCATTGTATGGTTATATTATATTGAAATGAAACTTTTGTGGAGCCAATAATTTGGATTGGTTCCATAAGGTAATAAAACAAAATAATACAAAAGTGTGTGGATATTTCTGGGTCAGATATGGCGTGCCGTGTCTCATTGCTTCACTTTATATCAAATTTTCAATATTATTGTTATTGGATCATATATATAGATTTTTCTATAAGGCAGTCAATTTCTCGATGATATTTTTGTTAACATAGGATACAGAAGCATGAAATATCTTTCAACCGTCGTACCATAAAGAATAAAAACAAGAGATATAATTCTCCATTTATATGTGGGATGTGCCTTTAGTCAAATGGTTAAGTCCATTTAACTCCGTCTTCTCTACCGAAGTTCGACTCCAGTAAGTTGCGTTACCCCGCGTAGTAGAGATTGGCTATGGATCGGGCCTTGTAGATCCAAAGATGTAAAAAAAAAAAAAAAAAAAAAAAAATTCTCCATTTATATGTATCATATCAGATTATGTTTATGGCCTTTTGAATCTAAAGACATAGTTTATGGTGTTATTTTATGAGATAAGAACGTTTACTTGTCATTGGGCAAATAAATGATTCTAAGTATGTATAAATGCATGTTTCATGGAGGTTTAATTAACTACGCAATTAACGTGATATTTAATCACCATCAACTAATAAAGAACCTGAATATGTATCTAGTTTAGTTAAAAAAAAAAGAATATGTATCTAGTGATTATGGTGCTTATATATTTATTTGTATTAACCACTTTTTTTTAATTTATGAAGTATTTTTTCTTAAAGTTGATTTTAATTCTTTAATTTCAACTTTCTTTAATTTTGAAATTTAAAATTGTATCCTATTTTCTTAATCAATGTTTTCAGTTTGGCTTGGTTTGGTTGCAACCTACAAAATTAGTTTTTTTTAGCAAGAATATTAAATTGTCTACCTATAAAATTTGATTGCAACATACAAAACTAGTTATTAAAATTGTATTCCATTAATGACGGTATTAGTTTAAAACCGAACTTACCTTTCAGGTGATGCATGTTGGAATAGTTAGTATTGACTTTGCAAACTTAATTTTCCTAATTAATGAATTAAATTGAAACATCAACAATAATCAAACACTAAAACACAAAAGGGCATTGTGTAATCTTTAAACCTAGATTTGTGCAGTATCTCCTCCTGATTTTATTAAATCAATGAAAAAAACATATATGGATTAGGTTTAGTTCTCCAAATTAAGAAGCTTATCTCTCTTTGTAGCTCTACGTACGATGCATACAACATCGGTCATTTGTTTACATCACATTCTTTCCAACTCATACTTATAAATAAGCATATAATAAAAATTATCAAATATGCATTTTTATGTAGAAAAGTATAAATGATGTAATAGCGATTAACTTTTAAAAAGATAGCTTTGCATCACTGTCACATTGTGTGAGAGGTTAGGTTACTGGAACTAAAAATATAATACCATATTTTTTTTGTTACAGTTATGATTTTATCATGGAGTATTTAGTATGGTGCACAAAAAAAAAAAAAAAAAAAAAATCATGGAGTATTTAGTAATCTATAGATATAATCAACTAACAATATAATATTATACGATCTTTTACATAATTAGCTATTGATTTTCAAAATAAAATAATTTATAAAAAAAATCGGAAAAGAAAGATCAAATCAAAACGTGAAGTTTGACGATGATACTAATTCATCGAAGAAACGTATATTGGTCAATATTATTTTGCGCCACTGTCAAATTGTGATTCGTCTGGCAATAATTTTCTCTTCCCACTAAAGAATTAAAGATAACTTTTGATCTATCATTTCGACTAAATTCATAAAATTCTGAAAATATGTAGTTTATGAACTTTCTAAGCAATAAATTTATATAGTTGTTGGAGATAAATTTTACCCACTCTGTATTCGAATAGTTGTCGTTTTAACTATAATTACGCTTATTAAGAAAAAGTTAAAAATAATTATTTTAACCTCATCCTAAACAACAATTTAGTCTTGGTAATTTAGACTGAGTAATTGTGATCAATTAATTGAGGTTAATTTAGGAAGTCTTATGCAAAAGTTGTATTGGAATGTCAAAACGTCAACTAATTAAAAAAAAAAAAGTGTAGAAAGACAAGTATTCGAATACAAAAGGAGTAGCTATTAGTATTTACCAAGTGTTTTTCAGATTAGATTGTTCAGCTTAATTTCTTTCGAACAAAACATTGCACTGTTGTTACAAAAGTTATTTTTTCTTTGAATTTAATTTAAATTACATTAAAAAAAATCTTAGCTATAAGAAATCAGCATAACACGTGGCAATCATGCGATTCAAATGAGTATTCGAAGAAGACATTTTCTAAGTCTTTAAAAAGCGGTCTTCCGCATTAGTCTATTTACTCTATTAAGATAAATACACAATCGAACAAATGCATAAAGGATTGGATCATATCGTGTGCATAGATAATTATATTGACAACAAGACATAACGAGTACACTTTTCGAAAAAGAAATACACATATGAACATCATTATCATGATCCAATTACACTCCCACTCGATTCTCACTCTCTTTGCGGACAAACATTACTTAGGACCGGGAGATAGTGAAACCTCTCATAAACACACAAACACTTGTGTATAACACATGCGTAGTCTTATGTATTTGCTATACTTTCTAACATCTTTCTAGACTTTTCTATGATTAGAACATCGGATGATATTTGGGAAACACCCCAAATATTTTCTAAATTGAAGGTTTTTTTCTTCTTTATAACCAAGTTCATCTATTTTTCACTTTCTAAATCCCAAATTGGTGATATTTAAATTCAGTATAATTCGGTGCAATTTTTATAAACTCGAAAAAATAGAAAATTGTTTAAACCAACCTGAATAAACCGACCGACTGAATGCTTGGACTTAATCCCAACTATAGACTTTCCACGTAATAGCTAATCCTAAAGTATATGCACGAAACAATAGTATCTTGATTTTATGAGAATTTATTGTTATAGCGAATGATAAAAACGTAGTAGGGATTGGCTATGGATCGGGCCTTGTCGATCCAAAGATGTCAAAAAAAAAAAAAAAACGTAGTTTTTCAATAAAACGCGAAAATCTAGTTCTTATAAATTAAAGGCTTTTTCAAAGTTTTATTTTAACATGTTGTCAAGTATAGCACTATCATATTCCAAAATTAAAAACATGAAAATTTGTTGATATTGTGAATGATAAAAAATAGCAAATGTTATATTTTCAAAAAAGTAAAAACAGAAATAATTAACTGGTACACTTTTAACCATAAAATCAATAAATTGGTACACATTAATCATCTTTCTGATAATTATGTTATGATTTGGAAAATCCAATTTTAAAAATAAAAATAGCACCTGATGAAGAAACAAAGAAACATGTAACGGAATTGAGGATAGATATGAGATGTGCAAATTGCAATAATGGAGCAAGACCTTTCTCAACACAATAAATCATCTTTAAAAAAATATATATATATATATATATATATCACAACTTTTGAGCAACGGAAATAGTTATCAAACTCTCACAACCAATAAATGTGATGACTATATAACACTTTAAATATATATATTTTGGGAAAATAAAAAATCCAAAAAAGGAATAAAATTTGACGAAATTGATTAATATTTTTGGTGGAAAAAAAAGAGTAAAATAGTAGTAAGAGAGAGAGATAAGACCAAAGAAGGACAGAAAGATATTTTTAAAATAACAAAAGAAAAGGAAATAATCAAATCAAATTAGAAAATTCCAAGAGGGTTCCTTGAACCCAACGCTTCTTAGGTTCGGGACTTTAGGTTCGGAATTAGGTTCGGAAATATTATACATAGTCGACATTGGGAGGATAAGTAGGACTCTTTCTCATTGCTTTTCGCTTCGTCTTCTCTGCAAGAAACCAATCTCTCTCTCTTTCGCTTTCTTAAACCCTTTCTCTCTCTAAAACCCTCAAAAAGTTTTGGTGCTGACTCAAAAAAAGGTTCGGTCTTTTACTACATTTTGAAATGGCGATTGAAGATTACGAGAACCCAAATCGAGAAATCAAACCTAAGAACAGAAGATTGATGGTAATTCTTATCACAAACCCTTTTCCACAATATCACATTGTTCAAACTCTGTTTACATTGTCTACTTTTTGTGTTCATTCGAATCTTTTACTCCTTAATTTTCGATTCTAAGATTTGGGTTTTGATTGAATTGATATGTTTCCACTCTTGTGTGTATTTTTTTCCCTAATTTTCGTTTTCAGATGTTCAAATTTGAGTACTTATTGAAAATGCTCTGTTTTGGTGTAAAGAACAATGCTTTCGATTTTCTTGAAGGAATCTAAATAATGTTCTTTGGAAATTATAACCTTTCGTCATTATTGAGTCACGAAGAACAATGCTTGAAGCGTTTGAGTAATGTAGTTGGTAGATTAGGGTTTTAAATTGGGGGAAAATGGAAGCAGAAGAATCTTGAGATTAAAAATTAGGATCTTTATCGAACTAGATTCACGGCTTAATATTCGATTCCGTACTTATCGCTCTTAAAATTGCTTTTGTTTTTATAAAAACTTAAAACAGAATATAATCTTCAAAAACGAATTTCGGGATTCATTATTATCTTTGGTTGCAAGATTATAAAATAAACTAAACACCATTAGAGTCAAGTCTATGTAAAGGAGGAGACTTTTGATACGTATAAGTCAAAAAACTGTTTTTTTTTTTATAAAGTTCTTTGGGATAATGGCTAATGAGTTATGGTGTTTGCAGGAAGAAGAGAATCAATGGCCTCTATGGCTGAAACCTTTACTAAACGAACACTTCTTTGTTCAATGCAAGTCTCATGGACACTCACCGAAAAGCGAATGCAATATGTATTGCTTAGACTGTACCAATGACTCGCTTTGTTCTCTATGTCTTTCTGACCACAAGAACCATCGTACCATTCAGGTGTGTTGCATTTCGCATTCCAAAGTTCTCTTATTCTTTCGGTTTTGAATGTTAAGAAGTTGTTGGTTTTTCTGCAGATAAGGATATCATCTTATCATAATGTGATAAGGGTCAATGAGATACAGAAGTACTTAGACATATCAAGCATTCAGACATATGTGATCAATAGCGCAAAGGTTTTGTTCTTGAATGAGAGGCCTCAGTCTAGGCCTGGTAAAGGGTTTACTAATACCTGCAAGGTCTGTTATCGTGGCCTTGCCGAGAACTGCGTCCGCTTCTGCTCTATTGGCTGCAAGGTACATATACCTACTTGCACTTCAATTACCATTCACACTCTTGCATGTTTTCTGATATGAAAGATGAAATAAACTTTGGTATGGGTTATGATAACACTTTAAGCATCTATTACCAAACGTTCCTTTGTTTTGTGGTTACTTCTAGAGTTTTGGTCTTCTTTTTTTCTTTCACATTTCTATATTTCTGAGCATAGAGTCATTCTTCTGATAAACTTCTTCTCTGTGTTTTTGTGGTAATTGAATCAAAAGGTTGCAGGAACATCTGGAAGCTTTGCGAAGAGAGTGAAGCATACGACGATTGAATCAGATAATTCAAGCAACAGTTCTGGAGTGGAGAATAACAGTTCAGGAGCAGAGAATGACAATTCAAATCTGCTGAGTCTCAGCCCACCAACACCTCAATTTCCTCCTGGTTCTCTGCGAAAGCGACGTAGAAAGGGAATTCCTCACCGAGCTCCACTGGGTTGAGATTGAATCAAGAAGAAGAAGCTTGTGTTACGTTTTCAGTTTTCCTTAATATAAGAGACATCCTTATATAGCTTATACACGAGACACCAAAAGATAGTGCTATGAATTAGTCAAGTAGCTAGTAAGTGTATATATACAATATCTTCTTGTAAAGTTTTAGTGTGATGCAATGAGACTAGACAGTGAGGGATATTATGGTGTTTTTAAGTAATAGAATGTTGGTTCTATGACTATATCCTTGATCGCAAAATTTGGTTTTTGATAGATTATATAACAATAACAGATAATTAATTAGGTTTCACAAACCAAATCAAAGAGATATACAACACATGCCTCCAGTTACAACAAATGTTCTGGTAATACACATAAAAACAGACTACATGGGCCAAAACGTAGAGAAACTAAAGTAAAGGAATCCAATAAGTTTTAAAATTCCTCACAGTTTTGCCACTAAACTTCTCATCTTGATCAAGTATAACCCTGCTTGTACTTCCTGAAGATATCTTCAGTTTCCGCATTTCGGAACGCGCAGCAACCGATAATGTAAACGATGATCAATCCGATTAGCGCCAAAAGGAGAAAGAGATCCGCTTTTAACCAATCTACCTTAATATTTGCGAGCAAACCGGCTTTACAAGAATCACAACTATAACACAAAGTGTTTTGATCATTGCTCCATTGTAGACAATCCATATCAGCAGACATATCTATGGGACTTATCCAATAAGTTGGGTTTACAAATGTGAAACCACATTTTGTTGGGGGCTTGCAGCAACCGGACTGAAAATAAAGAAATGGGGTTAGATTTAAATAAAATATAAATATAGGGGCAAAAAAGTAGTTCGGCGTGACTGATTAAGTGCACATAGTGGAAGAATCTAGAAAGTTGGGACGTTTTATATTATTTTATCAAAAGGTTAAACTTTTCCAGTTTTTGGTTCCCACAAGCCTATAAGCTAAGAATCATTTTCTATTTTATAATATCATTACCTCATCCACCTGTTCTTTTCGTGGCCAATCAATTTCCCCCTGTACTTTTTATTTATTCAATTTACACCCTAAATTTGAATTTCCTTAAACAAAAGAGAAATGTGATATATTTCAACTTTAATCAAAAATATCTTATTTCAGGTATTTTTTAGACAATCCTAACAAGCTAAGCACCAATGTTATCTTTCATTATCACCCCTATTATTTTCATGGCCATTCATTATTACCCCTATATTTTCATGGCCATTCTACTTTCACCCTCATACTTTTTTCTATTCAATTTAAACCCTAGTTTTCTTCAATCAATGAAACAAACTGACGCCAAAAAAACTAATTAACTACAAGGAACAAAGAAAGAAAACAACAGAAAAAAGGTAAACTGCAGCAAGAACTAAGAATCACCCAAAACTTGAAGGACCAAAAACTAATTAACAAAAAAGAGTCAAAATCAAGAATTAAGGAGCAAAAGATACTTACTTGAATGGGATCAAGATGAGCATTGAAGAAATCTAAAGCCAAAGTGTATCTCTGGTTAAGTTCAGGGCAAATAGAAGTAGTACTCAAACAAGTACGAATCCTTTCCCATTTATAAGATCTCTGAACTCTTCTACGTAACCAAGTAGAGTAATCTTGAAGACTATACTCAAGATAAGCTCTACTTGGTTCTGGATGACCAGCGCCTTTAATGGTAACCATGTAAATAAATCCGACAAGAATACCCAAAAGAACAATGAGAACAAGCATGGCTACTAAGTAAACAACAAGAAGCCATGTGATTCTCCAAAACCCTCCAATGAAACCAGCGAGACCTACTAAAAGGATTAAGACTCCGAGGATTATTACTGGCCATTGAAGAATCTTGACGCAGGAGTTTACTGTTCCGATGGCTAGCCAGATTCCGGCGCCGATGACCGGAATAGAGAGGAGGACGGTGATGAAGTTTATGCAACCGATTACATTGTTACTTAAAGGCATCTTTTTTGGGAGAGGTGAGAGTTTTTAACTCTGTTTTTGTGTTCTTGAAATCTGTTTTGGTTTGTAATAGAGAGAGAGAGATAGAATTATAACTAAAGAGAGACAGAAAAAGAAAAAGATTCACATGTGTGAAAAGTGAATAATGTTTTATAAATATTTGTTTGGTTTTGAGGGGATTTAGGGTAATGGTAATAACTTTGAGAGAGGAAGATTTTACATGTGTGAAAATGAATAAAAAAAAGAAGTAACTATTTGAAAAGAAAAAAAAAGTGTGGATCATTTCTTAAATTAGGTATATTGACTTTATCTTTCTCAAAAGAGAAAAAAAAATCAAAGCTATATATTATTACACTTTTGAAAGTATATATTTATAATTAGTGTATTGGTTTTCAATTTTGATTACCAAAGGTGAGTACAAGATAATGTTGATTTTAATGAGTTAATCATAAGAAAATTGTGGGAAGATGAGTAGATGACACACAAATTGACAAATACGCAAAGTGTCTAGTTATCATTACTGTATTTAAGGTGAGTAAAAGATAAGTATTTGATGAATTAATTTCTAAAAGAAAATTAATTTAAATACACATTTCTTAATTTGAAAATAGATAGTTAATTTTTGATATCTTTCTTACAAATACTAACCACCACACTATCATTTGACTCCATATAAATTATGTAAAAAAAATTTCGCATTCGTATACATTAAAATTTATACGAGACTCACTTGAATTAAGAAAAATACAAAATTTTTATAAGAGAAAGTACTACAATGTATACTTCTAAAATTATATTGTTTGGTCGTTATGTCAAAATAGTTTTGTAATTATTATATATAAAAATATAAATATTTAATTTGTTTGAAGTAAAATGTAGCGTAAAAGATACGTTTACTAATTTTGCATAATTTAGATTAGAGTTAAAATAACCATAATATCCAAAATTATAGTTATAAATCTAAAGATATCAGTTATGTTTTAGACTCGAAATAATCAAAATACATGAAAATAACCAAAACTACCCTTAGTTATATTTTAGATTAATTACAAAGTTCTCTCTAAAAATGATTTAATTACAAAGTTCTCTCTAAAAATAGAAAAGAAAAACCACGTCGAATACATATTTACAAATATGGGACAAAAGATTAGACCCATTTGTGTAAACAAAAAAAAAGTCCAAAAGAAAGAGTTAATTATAGTTAATTTTAGTAAATCATATTTAACTAAATATTTACCCTTTAAAAAAAAATCCGAATAGCAGATTTTCGAAAAGCCTAATTCACTAAACCTACCAAATATTCTAATTTCTTGTAATTTATCCTCGCAATCGTCGATTTTTCAAACCGCTTTTGTATTCTTCAATGGCCGACAATGACATCCAGTTAGAGTCCGTGATTATCATTTCCGATGAGCATATCCAGAGATCTTACAACTAGAGTCGTGACAATCCTTTGGCAAAAAAGGCAAATGCCCAAAGCCACCATTTTTTTTTTTTAAATTAAAGGCCATATTTTTGTAAAAAAATTAAGTTTATCTATTCAGTTTGTTTGATATAAAATATTTATTTTATGAAATTTTTTAGTGGAAATTATATACTTAACTATGTCTTTAATTATCTAGAGGAGATTTTCTTATCCTGAAAACATATTTTTAATAATATATAATAATAAGTAAAGATATATATTAAAAACAAATAATATTATTAGAAAAAACAAAGAATATTATTAGAAAGCATATAAACAAAGAAAATAACTTATTTTGATTTCTTTTACAGTTTTAGTTTTTGTTACTAATATTTTATTTCGATTCAGTATTATGATTACTAGATTAAACATATTACCATAGCCATATTTTATAAACATGTCATATGCCTCCACAAGTCTGAGCACGACAATGCATAAAGTGATTTGTGTCTTCTTACATATGAAGACTCTGATCCAGACGACACTAGAATTTTTTTAAAAAAAAGTGAAATGAGTGTTGCTAAAGTTGCATAACAAATAAAAAACTCAAAAATTTGAAAATTTGTAGACAAAATAAGCGCTTTCTTATAAATACTAACCACCACACTATCATTTGGTCCTCCATATAATTCTTTTTACATTCATATACATAAAATTTGTACGAGACTCCCTCGAATTAAGAAATATACTAAACTTTTAAAAGAGAAATTAACACGATAATCTACATTCGCCTAAAATTATATCTAAAATATAAATTTTGTTTGGCCATAATTTCAAATTAATTTTTTAAAATAATTTTACATTTTGATTGTGAACACGACATGTAAGTGGTTTATGCAAAATGACTTTGAAAACAAATATCTATGTCTAGCTAATTGTTTCAACAAACATTTATATAACCTTTATCTTATTTTCAAATATCATTTAATAAACTATAAAGGTACATATTAATAAAACATGAAACAAAAATTATGTCCATCTCTTAATCTCTTAGTATTATATATAGACATTAGTTGTATATATGCTAACAATCTAAAAACTAAATAAATTTGTTTCCATTTATAATAAACAACACACCATTACAACGAACCAGATATGTGGAAAATGTGAACATGTTGACCAAATTCACATGTAGTCCAGAAGAGATAATGAAGAGAATCTTTATTACGTGAAGAAAAGTCAAGAATTCCACTTCTTTTTGAGTACAAGATCCTCGGTTTCGAATAAAGTCGAAAATGATAAGCATTGAGCAAAATATTGTGTATTGTACCAAAAATGATGAGCATTTATACATGTTTTATAGGAGAAACCTTGTCCGAAGTTAGATACTAAGACCATCTCCAAGGAGACACCAAAACACCAAATTTGGAACCTTGTCCGAAGTTAGATACTAAGACCATCTCCAAGGAGACACCAAAACACCAAATTTGGTGTTCTATGGTTGGAGTTGCTCTAAGGCAATGAATGGGAAGCCTAAACGCACTACGTGGTACGGTTCAATAGACTTTATCTTATCATTTAAGCACAATTTTTGACACATCACTGTTGCAGAATAAAATAATTAAAAACAGAAGTGGATCATTTTGGTAAAAAAAAACGCAGTGTGTGGTTAGTATACATCACTTATGGTGTGTTATTAGGTGACTACGTGCGGTTCAAGTTTTTTTTTTTTTAATGGTTTTTAAAATCTGAAAAATATGAGAGTTAATTGTATAAAACAATTCAATTTTAGTTAAAAAGGTATAATTATCCAAAGTATTAAAAAATAGTTAAAAATTTGATAACTATTACATCCACAACATAATTGTTATATTCACCATTCAAATATTTATCATGAACCGCATAATGTTTTTTTACCATTCAAACATTATTCTGTACCGCTTGTTACACAGTAATCACACTTGTTCCGCATGATGTGTTTTTTGGAACGCATCGCAATTGAACCGTACTGCACTACTAACACCACTTTTTCCGCACCGCTCAAACCGTTGTCACCATTCGGAGCCTAAGTTAGAATGTTGTTTTAAAGTTCCAAAAAAAAAAATGTGAATCGGGTAATCATTACCAAAATTTAAGTGCTCTCTCTGTTGTCAGCTTAAAGCCAGACGGATATATCAAATAAAGCCCATATATAAAAGACTAAAACTATTAATATGGGCCATTGGAAAAAGGTCCATAAAATAGTGTCGTGGATGTTGATGGGTAATATAACAACATAAGCAACCGAACACAACAATCTCACTCGCAATGATGGCGGATGTCTCCAAATCTTGTGTAACAGTAGATCTAAATTAATTTATCACAAACAAGATTTAAATACGATAAAAATATTTTATTAGATTTTTCCATTTGCATGTTAGAACTTAGAATCTTAAATTGGATAACCATCTTCAAAAAGTGTCACTGTTTAGCCCTTGAAATTATATAATAAACACACTAAAAAGATGTTTAGTTTATACTAACTAATATCCAAGATCGAGAGGTGATTTATATAAATAAGAATCCAATTATATATAAAAACTTCGAACACTCACAAGTATGCTAATTTATAACTTACTATCAGAAAGTGCATAAAAAGAAGACTAAAACAACTAATATGTTATGTGTCATTGTAAATTCACATTTAGTCTTTACATAGTCAGAAAAAAGAACCTAGGAATTAAAAAGAAAGCTTATACCTTTCTTTATTCTGAAAGAAAAAAAAAGATTAAAGATGTGTTATGTGATAAAACTAAAAGAAGGAACAACAACAACAAAAAAAGAGATTCCTCAGAGAGAATGAGTGGCATTTGAGTGATTCAAAGAGAAGTCAAATGGTAATTCTGACATTGGTGAACAACAAAAAGGCTCCTCTTCAATGATACTTAGCATGTGGTGAACTGCTCCTGCAATGTCATCTACTGAACTTAGCTGGCAACTCTCTTCCACCTTTCAAGATTCAAATAAGAAAATGATATAAAATTTACAATTTTAACCCCTGAAAATAATATTGTGTGAATTTCGAAGAAAAAAAAGTCAAATATTAATATTTCACGTGGCAATAATTGAACCTGTTTTCAAGAAATAGGTGAAAAATAAGAAAAATGACTCCACCAAGTATGGTAATAAATGTTGGACCAAATCTAGTTAAGAGTTCATAGACATTCCTTTTATATGCTCTGTCCCTTGGACCGCACATAATCTACCGTCTAGCTTTAAATTCGTAACATTTATTCCCAAAATACCCCTCCAATTGTATTTGAACATATCCGGTTTAGCTCCGGTTTAGCTCCGGTTTAGCTCCGGTTTAGCTCAATTAAGATGATAAGAGTTATATACTTATATGACACTAGTACTGATAGAGTAAGTAGCATAAATATCCAATGTTGTAATGTTTTATGAAATACCGCTCAAATTGCATTTGAACTAATCCGGTTTAGTCCGGTTAAGATGAGGGTTTTAGTTTATTACCTTGGCGCTGATGGAGTAAATAACGTAAGTGTCCAATGTTGTGACACTAAGGTGAAGAATAGAGAGCGAAAGCGATTGCAGAGCAGACACCAGCTTCGAAAGTTGTGGTGGCCTCGCGGTAGCCATCGTGCTCCACCGGAAACCTCTTCTTCTCGACAAGATTCTGATGTTAGCATGAGTTTCGATTAGAGTGACCTCAAGATCTTCCATAGGGGTTTTCACCGAGCTTGTTGAGCCGTTTCTATTTTCCTGGCCGGGATCGTAGGAATGAAGAAAGAACTGCGATAGAGATAGTGAAGACGGTTGATGAGGGTTCTCTTGTTCACCATTTGAGTCTTGACTTGTTGAAGAAGTAACCGACTGGTTTGATTTAGCATTATGAAGCTTTTGAGCTTCAAGAGATAGTAATTTGTGTTCAAGTTCTTTGATGAAATCTATGGCTCCACCAACTATTGAAGCTTGATCACCCTTTCATGGAAAACAAAATCCACCAAAAATAAACATATAAGTAAACAAATAAAAAACCCATATATATTTGTTTAGACCCTTTTATAGATACGGCCATAATTATTGAAACTCGAATAGAAGATTTAAACCATTATAATGAATCTTTCACAAAAAATGAAAATCAAAATGATACTTTTAATCATTTTCAGTGAACTCTCAATATAAATTGAACCCATATCAAAAGTACAAAATAGTAAACCTTTTGTTTTAAAATACTCCATAAATATTAAAACCCTAGTTGAAATTTGTAAACATTTTTTGTTTGTTTGTAAAGGGAACTAAATTTTGTAAACATTAAAAAAATATCCATCAAAAGAAATTAAACCTTGTGAGCAAAAGGTTGAGGCATGAGAGATCGCAAGACAGAGAGATGTTGATTCATTTGTCTTCTTCGGTTTCTTTCGACGGCAATGTGTGTCATTCGTTGATTCTCAGCTTCTTCTTCGTTTTTGCAAACCCTAGGCTTCCTTCTCCTCCGCTTCTTCCCTCGATTGGTCGCTGGTGGTTGTCGCGGTGGTGGCGGTTCTTGATGAGGTATCTCCGGAATTGTCTTCGTGGATATGATGACATCATTTTCCGGCAATGGCTCGAGATCGACGAGAGACTTGAATGGAGTTGGTGAAAGAGTTTCGGAGAGCAAAAAGTTTAAGAGACCGTTTGCTGATAAAGCTTCTAGAGTCATTTTGCTCTTCACGACGTTTATTCCTTATTGAATTACTAAGTATCATTGATTTATATAGCATCATTCCAAATCTTTCATTTATTATTTTTGAAAATATATATAAAGTTTTAAAAAAATTATGGGCGAAAACGACATTTTCGAAAAAATAAAAGGCAATGATTAAAAGGAAAAAAAAATGACAAACGTTGAAGCTATGGTGCTCTGAGGGTGTACATGTGAGACATTATTTGATTGTGATCGGTACTATCATGGAAGGCTAGCTTCTGAAGAAACCTTAGTTATGGAATTTGCTGAATGACATACTTTTTCAGACATTAATTATCCATCGTATTTATATAATTCAAAGACTCATTTTAAATTCTTTTTAAGAATTTGGAAAAGAAAATCATAAACTAGATATATTCGATAGAAGCTAATAATTCAGCCAGGTTTAACCGAAGGACTGAGTTATCGATCAACGCCGAAGAAAGTACTATGCTTTGATAGATGGTTAAAAGAGATGTCTAAGAGTTGGCAAAAACAAAAATTACACAAAGTGTGTAAATTGTAATCATCTTCCAAAATCATAACGTACAATTTTTTTTTTTCCAACGAACTCATAGTGTATAAATAAATATAAAATGCATATGTATTGAGATGAGAAAAGGATTAGAGAAGGAAGAAGCGAAATGGAGTGCTGGTGGCACGTGAGATGGGTCAGAGAGAGTCCAAGGTCTTGTTCTTTTCTCGAAATTGTGGACCATTCTTTCTTTTTCACTTAATTAACCTTTTTACTCCCGTAAAACACTAAAAACTTTTTACATCTTTCAAGTTTCAACCCAAAAAGAACTTTTTGCAACCCCCAAAAGAAATCCTTCATATCATACATTATTTTTTATTTTATTTTTGTTAAACTAAACATATCATACATTATTCTTGTTAGTTGCAAAACTCAAATTTCAATACAAAAATGCTAACACACTTGTTTTCATATAGTTGAATTTAATTTTTTTTACGTTACGTTTAAAATTTTTGAGAACCGTTACGAAACCTAAACTTTTTGGTATTTTGGGAATTTGATGGATACATGGTTGGTAATATTGAAAAATAAAACATAAAATATGGTATTTCTGCGACTAAAAAAAAAATATATATTTGAGAATTACTTTTTGTATGTCAAATTTGCAGAAATATGTCGGATTTTTTTTGTTTATAATGTTTTCTTCTCTCTAATATGATCACACACAAATTCGTTTCTCTTGAAAAATGATCAACACAAATGGGAAAATAAACCAAATATATATGTGGTATGATATTCGATGAAAAAAAGAAAGAAAACTCAATCATCTAAATGTAGACCAAATTCCAAATATTCGACTCAAGAAGAAAAACAAATGGGACCAAACCGGTTAGGTATTTAGCAATGTTGGACCGTGGGGACCGGACAATAACATACACATAAAGAGACAAATGAGTGCTGGAAGAAAGCAAAATTTCACAATTGCTATTTATTTTCCTCTTGAATATATATATCCATAAGATTTTTTATACATGTATTATATTGGGAAAAGTGAGAAATTATTAATTGCAATTGTATGCTTATAATTAAAAAAGGACTGTCTCCATTTCATCAGTCAGTTTTGTTTGCACATTAGAAGGACCAGAAGAAGCTATGAAGGTAAAAAACACAGCCCGTGATTTAAAATAAAATTCTCTATTTATTTAAATTACTTTTTAACTATCTGCACTTTTCTGTTTTTTTCTGATACAAAATGTCAGATCTCTCAAAAACAAAAACGTTAACTTTCACGAATTAGACAACAGCTCCGGACACAAAATCTATCAAATATTTTTGGTAACAGAAACAAAACACCATGCAAAATTCTACAATTGATAAAGTATACAAAACCAAATTAACGACCAATAATTAGACTACAACTACTATATTTGTTTATTCTTTGAACACTCAACAATTGCCGTTAACTTTAAATGGTTAGCAAACGAAAATCGAACAAGGTTACACTAGTGTTTTTTTTTTTTTTTTTTTTTTTTTTTAGGTATGCTCACTCCTTTTCTTTAATTTCGTTTGGTTTTTTCGATTTCGGATTTTTGGTTTTCGGTTTTCAAAACATAGGTCCGAACTAAAACAAAATTTTACTTCGGTTCACTTCGGTATGAAATGTTTTGATTTGGTTTGGATCCGTTCGGTTTTGGATTAAATAAGTTTAATAAAATGAAGTAAATATACTAATTATGATTAATATTATAAAATGTTGTATATTGAAATGTATTTTTATATGTTTAACTAAAATATTAATTTTATGGATTTATTTGTTTCGGATTGGTTGCATGATTGCATCAATTCTTTGGGTTTGGTTTGAGTTCTTTTGATACAGATTTTCTTTTGTGACTTTTAGCCTTTAGGGTTAGAATTATTTCAGGAATAAAATAAAAAAAATTGGTTGAAAATTTCAGTTCGATTGGTTATTTATGCCCACCACCAGGTTTTTTTTGGATAATCTCAGTATTTAATTTATAGTCGCTAATAAAATTCACATTAGCTAATGAAGTATACACACACTCAACAACAATCAGTCTCTATTTGTGTTGCTTAATCCAAAACTATAATCTCTTAATTTCTTTGACAAGCAACAACGACCGTTTGCTTCCAAGTTCCAAAGTCTCTATCTCTTATCAAGAATTTAACTTAAAAGATTCCTGTGAATGTTTTATAAACCCAGAAAACGTGTCTATTCTAATCTGATTCGTTGCATCAACAAACAAACACGTGTTCATGTCTCTTAAAATTTACGAAAACATCATCTCTAACATGCAATAGATCTTTGTACTTATGTAAAGAGATTAAGAGAAGTCAGTGTAACATTTTACAAAGTCCGAGAAACAGAGAGACAAGAACAACAAAGAGGACGAAGAGCAGACACTGTTCTTGTCAGATTTGTCCACGTCGAGAGACTAGACTCAGTCTTATCTTTAGTCCTCTGCAAAAAAAAAAAATTCAAACTGTTTTCTGTTAAAAACAAAGAAACCCAAATAGTAAAAAGTTGTATAGAGAAAGTTCAAAGTTCAAAGATTACCTTTTTAACTGTGTTCAGAAGCAGCACATGAGTAACATGGCTTCGTTTTGGGACCAGTGGTTTCAAAAGTGGCGTCTTTGGTCCCTTAAAAAGACTCTGACCAAAACTCTAATCAAATAACTAAATTAAACACCAAGAAGATAAACACTTAGCCTTAAAAGTTATCAAATTTAGCTATATTTAAGAGCTTGTTGCTCAATAACTGGTCTCAATTCATTGATGTTGTTGAAGAAAGTTTGGCTAATATTACAAATATATCTTCAAATGGTTAAGAGAGTTCTCGAATTTCGACTATAATTTAGTATGAAACAGCCCTTATGCTCTCATGTACAAATCAAATTTCTTCTATATGATACTCTCAATGTCTTTAAGGATAAATTAGTGCATTACACTCAATAGCTGCTTTAATTTTGAAATGTGTCTTCCTTGCTGCCTGGTGAGATACCGTCTCCCTTAAACCAGACAACACAGCTCGTCTAGCCGATGACGGAATCTTCATTCCTTTGTTGTAACACGACAAGAGCAGCTTCGAAGCACATACAAGCCGCCCGTCTTTGCATAGATTATGCACAACAGAAGTGTAAGTGAACTCATCCCTAACTTCCATTGACGCAAACAACCTCATCGCACGATCTACGTGGCCCGCTTTGCACAACCCATCAATCAAACAGTTACAAGTGGCGATACTCGGCTGCATCCCCATCTCTCCGATACGTGCCAAATGCTTCTCGGCTCCTCCCGTATGACCTATTTTTAACAAACCATTGACTATAATCGTATGCGTGTAGTCATCAGGTTTCAATCCTTTCATCTCAATCTCCTCCAATAGATCATCCACTGCATCCAAATTCCCATCTTTAAAATACATATTCAACAACGTGTTGTACGAAACAATGTCTTGACTCCGTGTACCGCTTCTCACCAGCTCGTTCATACACCCGTACGCCTCCTCTGCTCTTCCGGTTTTAATCAAAGCACTAACAACCGCACAATTCGCATACCCGTCAAACGTATACCCTTCTTTCTTCATCTTCAAAAACAGCTCAAGCCCTTTCTCAATCCTCTTAGTCTTAAAATACATTTTAAGCATCGTTGTATACGTAACCGCATTCGGAGTATAACCCGCTTTCCTAAGCTCTCTCAGCATCCAATTCACAGAACCAACCCTTCTCGATTTACAAAGACCATTAATAAGAATGTTATACGTCATAAGCTCCGGTTTAACCCGACTCTTCAGATGCTTAAACAACTCAATCGCATTATCCGTATGACCGCTTTTACAAAGCGCATCAAGCAGAATATTATACGTATCGACCCCCGGAACCAACCCAGCTAAACGAATATCCTCATGAAGAATCCGAAACGCTTCTCCATGTTTCCCTAATCTAAAGTAACAAGACATTAAAGTATTATAACTCCACATATCAGGAGACAAACCTGAGTGAAGCATTTCGTCGAACAGTTGGAGTACACGATTCAACATCAAGTTTTTAGCAGCTCCAGAGATCAATGAATTATAAGTAGCAACATCAGGTTCGATACCAGCTTCTCTCATACGACGTGTAACAGCATAAGCTTCGTCGATTCCAATGAAACGAGAGTAACCTTTGATTAAAGTGTTGTAAGTGATAACATCTGGAAGAACACCTAATCTGATTCCGTCTATGAGTAATGTTTCTGCTTTCTCCAAGTTTCGGAATTTGCAGAGAGAATCAACGCTTATGTTTAATAACTTCGTTGAGATTCCTGGGAATTTCATCAATCCACGAACCATTCTCCGAGAGATTACCACTAAATCGAATCAACATAGAATTGTAGAATTTTTAGGTAATTTGGTTGCATTGAAACGTGAGGATCACGTATTTTGACAGATATGGAAGGAAACTCGAGAATTCAGAAAAAAAAAAAAAAAAAAAAAACTCGAGAATTTAGAAGCAGAGCTTGACGATGACGAATTTTGGTCTTCTAAACGACGTCGTGTAATACAAGACTAAGTTAAAACGTTGTCGTTTGAGTTTACAAGCCATCTCCTCGCCATTAAAACAACGCCGCGTAAACAAACTTGAAACGCTGTCGTTTGTTTTTTATTGACCATCCTCGCAAGTGAAACGACGTCGTAAGAAATAATCTTTGTAATTAGTTAATTACTAATTAGGAAAAAAAATCTTTGTTTCGTCGGTCACTTCTCACTTTTGATCGACTTTTTTTGAATGAATTAGCCGTTGTGTTTAACGGTAACTTTTTTTTTTTTTTATAAGTAACGGTAACTTTTAAACGGCTAAATTTATGAGTTCTATTCTCTATATATACGTCGTTAGTGTTACCATAATAAAGATTAAAAAATCATTCCAATTCAAAAGTCTCTGTTTTTTTTTTTTATCTTCAGTTTATTTAGTTTTTGTTCATCGTTACAAATCAAATCCTCGCTCAAAGAAGAAAAATTCAAGTAAGTTCGAAATCTAAATCTCCTTTCTCATGTATTGTTATTATGATTCTGGTTTCAAAGTTTTTGTACTTTCTCAAAATCGAATCCCATGGCTCTTGTTTTCTCATACTCTGTTTTTGATTTCAAGACAAATGATTTTGTTCATGTTTGATTCTCTGTGTTGTGTGTTTTTGGACTCATTATACTAATCTGATTTATTCTTCAGTTATGCGTAGCAAAATTCTGGGAAAATGTGGAAACTTTTGGAAAGTTCATGATCAACTTAAACCGTAAAGAGACAAAACTTTATATCAAGTAATCTGCTTAAGTTTAAATCTAACCTTGAATTATGTGCTATGTTTATTTCTCGTAATCTGCTTGATTTCTAATTTTAAACCTGGAATGATATGTAGCTTCATGATCTTGTTGATGTTTTAGTCGCTAGGGTTATTGAAAATCGTTATTAAGAGTCACAATCGAATTTGTTTCTCTGCTTTATGTTTTCTGGATTTCTATGTGATATCATCATTATACTACTCTGATTCATTGCTCTGTTACGATTATAATTAGACTTTGGAATGCCCCAAGTTTAATTCGAATTTATTTCAATGGGCATCTCTAATTGCTTGAGAATTCAATACTAATTAATCGTTTTTCTAATACCACAGCTTTTGAGTTGCAGGAAAAAAAATGTAGAAGCTGTTTGAGGAAGGTGGAACCTTTCATAACGAGACAAAATTATCAAGTAAGTTGAAATCTAAATTCGAATATGATATATAGCTTAATGTTGATCGTTTAGTCGTTTTAAAATGGTTCTTGTGCATGTTTTCCGTTTATAGCTATTTTAAAATTTGATAAAGTTCATATGTAATAGAAAAAAAGTGGAATGGTTTTTGTTAAGTTATTGAGATATCAAATGCCACATTTGCCCTTTAAAAGATTGATTAAGATAAAGTGTTATTGAACGCACTTAATCGTACATTTTAGTTGAGAAACTCGAACATTTTGTTAGTAGACTGCTACCGCAGTTTTTTGCAAATTAAAATTGTTTACAAGTTCAGACTTTATGCAAGTCGTTCCTAGTGGTCTTGAGTGTTCTCAAGATGTTCATCATCATCATCGGATTTGGTCACGTCCAAATTCGAAGCGGTTGGACAGTTAGAAAAACTCATATTTACCGCCCGCTTAGAAAAATTCATTTAACTCATTTAGCCCTCTAACACAAACAAACGGGCCGTCCAGCCGAATCCGAGGATATCTTTTTTTTCTTTATTTCTTTAAAAATTTATTACGATTTGGCCGGAAAAATGCTATTCTTCGGATTTGGACAACCCAATTGACATCCCTCCCAATTGACATCCCTCCCTCTATATATGACATCCCTCCCTCTATATATTTTTTTGTCAACAAACTTTATTATCATACATAGAACAATTTGCATTTTTCTTTTTATTACATAAAGCCAACAAACTTTTATTCGCTTTTTTTACATTCGTAAATCGAGAAACCAAAAATCAAATTCAAAAATCAAAAATCACCTCCAAATATGTAGATGTAGAGAACGAGGGCCACTCTGTCGGAGAACGCTCACTTGTCTTGGCCGATCATTGCCCAAACAAGTGCTTATACTTCTGTGTGCAAACATTTTCGCAGGTTGGCAGCTCCCATCATCATTTGGCAGTGTTCCAAGAACCAACAATGCCTGGAAAGTTTATCTCCTCTGAACCAACGATCACAGGAGTCCGTGTTTTGTTAGCAACCTCCAATTGGGCCATATAATGTGCTTCGTAGTCCGTGGATCTCGATCAATATTGTCATAAAAATTTTCATTCCGTACTTTCTAAATGTACCACATAATCTAAGAAAATTATTGGAATATGTTGGTGTTCTCCAAAACAAGTGATCGATATTTATATAGAGCGATATACACCATTGGTATTAAATATCTCTAATGATGATGTAATAAAACGACAAAAAAATCTTGTAAATTTAAATTGCCAAATTAATTGACGGAAATAAACATAGACAACTTCCCGTCTATTTTAAAACTGCGAAAATAAAAAGAGTTCACAAACAACTTCCCGTTTATTTTAAAAATTAGACTAAGTAACATGACATCCAGTCTTTTGACTATTAGAGGTGACTCTTGTTTAATTCATTTTCACACACCGTTATATAAAAAGTCAGTTTCATATTAGTTTGACAGTAGTTTTTCTTTTTTACCTATCCATAAACCAAACAACACCATACTAGATTGTCAAATTAATTAAAGAAAATTTTCGAATATCCAAAATGTGTAAACCAATCGGATATTTTTAACTATCTAAAACTTGGTTCGGTTCTTCGGTCTGAGTATTTTGTCCAAACCTACCTACTTAAGCAGTTAAGCATGTACGACTACTGCTGGCCTAAAATAATAACAATAATAAAAAAGCAATAAGAGTGCTTGTAGATGTTATAAATTAAATAAATTTTGTTTGACATGAACTATTCAACTTTTCATTTGAATATATCTAAAATCCTATCTAATTAAGAAATACAAAAACAACAAAATGAACTAATTAAATTGAAAAAAAGTTTGTAAATCCTCTTTTAACTTCCTGATGATTCCGGTACAAGAGATTGACCAGAAACTTCACCAAACCGGCCTCCTCTGTTTCTCATAAGCTCACCAAATGAAATACAACTCTCTGTTTGATTATTGTTATGTCTTCTCGTAACCTTAATCTTAACATGATCCGGTAACCTCAAAGTATACCTATCTTCTTCCTCCGGTTTATTCCTCACAATTGAATGTCCCGTCGTTTTTGATCTCGAGAACTTATCCGGTAACGTCTCAATCTTTCTCTCGTTGTTACTACTACTTTGTCTCGACAACAAAACCTCGTTTGATGTTGACGTTTGATTTTGATCGCGATTTTCGTGTGCGTTTTCTTGTATGACTTCGATGATCAACTCTTTGATGTTTTCAGGCGCGTTTGGATCTAGATTCCGACGACATACAGGGCATGTTTTGTTAGACTCAAGCCATTGATCGATGCATTCTTGATGGAAAACATGGTAACAAGTTGTCAAGAGTCGTAGGAAGATGTGTTCTTCTTCGAATTCAAGAAGACAAATGGCGCATTCGAGACCGTATTTGTCTTCCCTGAGGTCTTTGACGGATGAGAATGGAAACAAAGGGAATGATTGGATGATATGTGGCTCGAGACCAGGGTTAACCGGTGGTTGAACGGGATCTTGTTGTGCTTGGACTTGATTTTCGGGTAATCCGTTGCGGTAATGGTGATTCCAAGCTTCGGTGAGAGTGTGGTAGAAGCATTTGCAGAAATATAGAGCAAAGAAACCGATGAAGAAAACGACGAGGAGGATCACGGTTAGGATTATGACTAGAGGCGGTTTACTGTAATGTTGAGGGGGATATGGAACAGTAGTGTTTTGGTTGATCGGTTTCGCTATCGGCATTGAAGAAAAGAGTGTCGGAGATTGTTTATCTCCGCCGTGGGAAATTTAAAGACTGAATGTTTATTTGGTTTTGCAATATATAATTTTTTCTTTTTCTTTTCAAGTGTTTTAAAATTTTGTGTATGGTGACAATGTGAGAGTGTGTTTGTGTGTGTTTAGAATTTGTTTACTTAATTTAGAAATGAGTTTTGTTAGTTGTGTGTGTGATTGCTTTAACTTGCATTGAACGAGTCTTTAGTAACACTGTTTTAACGAGTCTTATTTTCTTAGCATTTTGAGATAATTAAACGTGTTTTTAAAATTAAGAATTAAACGCAAAGGAAGAAGAAAATGAAAGCTTAGAGCATCTCCAACCCACCTCTATACTCTATTATAGAGTAAAATTCACTCTAACCCACCTCTATTTTCACCCCTAAGACTATCTCCAATGCTCACCTCTATATTTTCCTCAATTTTAGAGGAACTCTATTTTAGAGGAGATTTTGCTCCAATGTATCCCTCTAAAATAGAGGAGAGAGACAATATACTCCTCTATAATAGAGAATCTTTAGTTTTTTCTTTATATTATTCCTCTATAATAGAGTTAAAATTTATAGAGGAAAAAATAGAGGATACATTGGAGTAAAACTCACCTCTATTATAGAGTTCCTCTATTATAGAGTTCCTCTATTTTAGAGGCAAAAATAGAGAAATACATTGGAGGTGGTCTTACTGCAACTACGAGCACATGATGACATTACTGCAACTATTGGAACTGGCTTAGTGGTGCAGCTAAGTTATGGGAGAGTGAGCTTTAGCTTAAGTTTCCTTTATGTCTAACGAAGAGGAAACTACACGATGAACAAATTTAAGGTGCTCTGCTTTGCGCGACTATTCGAGCAGCTTGGTGGTTTATGAGCATGTGTCAATGCTCTAGCGTCAGCGGTTCGAATAGTTGCGCTAGCTTCTCCTGTTCTCCACCACCAAATCCAAGCTCTTCTCCATTAATTTAATAGATATGGCATAAAATAAGGTATTTTAAAATACCTTCTCTTTTTCTAAAATCAGTTGTGAATATTTAGTCAAATTATTAAATGAAATTTTCAATTTGTAAGTCAATTTGATGGCCAAAAAAGAGATCAAGAGAGCAAACTAGAAAAGTTGACTGTTCTTGGTTTTCACAAATATCCATATTTATTTTTATGAAAAAGGAAGAAGATATGAGAATGTGAGAGTGTTTGTTTAGGATTCGTTTGCCTAATTTGGAAATGAATTTTGATAGTTGTGGGATTTACTTGCGAGTAATTTTATAGAATTAGGTAGTGCCTAGCAGCTTTTTAAAAAGTTTTTATAGCTTCAGTCCAATTATATATTTATTTACTGTAATTACCATATATGGCCAATCATTTAAATGATGAAGAAATAACATATATAAACGAGGTATTCTTAAATACCTTTTTTTCTGTATTATTTTTTTTGTTAAAAGTTTTTTTTTTTCTTTATACTTCCAATCCATGGTTTGTCTGTCTTATTTTTTGTCTTCTTAAATGACTCATCTTTCTAATATATATTTTCTTTGTTTTCTTTGTCCGATTCTTTTCAAAAATTTGTTTACAGATCATCTTTTTGTTTAGTTTTCTATGTTTTTTTCTTTCAAAGTTAAATAATATCCTCCATATTTTATATAGTTTATATTTTAGGAGAAAAAAATGTTTCAAATTAAATGATTGTTTCAACTTTCAATAAAAAAATATTAATTTTTATTGCTTTTGACCATTTGTATTATACAAATTATTTTATTATTGGTTGAGTTGTTTTTAAAAATTTTGTAAATGATATATTAATTTAGAAAAGAAAAAAAAATCTGTGCAAAAACCTCAACATCAACAAAAAAATTACGGAGTACTAGAAAACTAGAAATTATGAATTACTCAAACTCAGTAATTGCTAGTTGGTCAAATAGTGAGGAATTTGATCAGAATAACATAGTCTCATGATTAGTGACATGTTTTCTCCATTATTCTAGAGAAATTTGGTTTCATCGTCAAATAAATTAATCAATCAATCTAACCAAAACACTTCACATCATAAATAAAAGATTAACGTGTTAACTATATAGTAAATCGACAAAACTGATATGTCTTAAAAGAATGAAACGTGGCTGCAGTCGTTACTCTCGGCTCGTTGGTCTAAACAGCGTGTGGCTATAGACACGAGACCAGAGTTCGAAGAGAAACGACTGCATTTGAAGTGATGATGATGCTTGATTTCCACATCTGAGGTACTCTAAAGTACCTTCTCTTTTTTAATCGAATGGCTTGTTAAAAATCCACGTGGCAACTTAACAACGGTAGATCTCGATCTCGAGAGAGTTTTAGCGCCATATCAAGTGCTAATCCTTCACACGTGTCATCATCATCTCTTCATATCACATCCAATGGCTGAGCTACGTATATTGAAAACTTTTACAAATTTGTAAAAGCAAATAATAATTAATGAATTTCGAGTAGGAATGTCCAGTTCTAGTCTCTATAATTTATATTTGTTGTATAATAAATTCAGATTTTTTTTTATAAATGAGATGAAGAAAGTGAGACTTTTATCACTAATCAAATCACAAAAAAAAAGAAATATAAAGTAACAGAGAATTAAAATGACCGAGAAACTAAAATCGCCACTAAAAAAACAAAAACCCCCGAAAGAAGCCTAATTTCGAGATCTCTATATATTTTTATCTAAAACCAAAAAAAAAAAAAAAAAAAGCTACAAAAATCTTCTTAAGGTTGTGTAAACAACAAGAAGAAATCAAGCTCTCTCAAATGAAACTAAGATCGAATCACCCTAACCATAACCAAAACCGAAACGAATTTCTGGAGCAAGTCCATTTTATTGACCATGATTAGGCCAAAGATGGTGGTACAGTTGCATCTGATGAGGATGAAGGGGTTGTTGTTGTTGAGCTCCATAAATCCCATTAGTATTGTCACGGTGCATTGCAGGAGAACCGCTCTCATTCTCTTCTGATGACTCACTCGATGGCCCTTGAGAGACTGATCCAAAGTTCAACATGTTAGCCGGCGCTGAAGCTGGTTCAGGATTCTGGCCTCGAGCATTGTTAACGCTACTTGGTTTCGGTTTCTTTGCTTCCGCAACAAAGCTTCCTACTATGACCTATAACACATTAGGAAGCAAATAACATAAAAGAAACCGATTATTACCTATTATGAATTTATGATGATGTTTCTGCTTAACTGTACCGAGATGAAATGCAAAACCTATTAAAACAAAATTACCGAACTTTTTTTTTATACGGAAATTGAATAAAACCCCCACAAGTTTAATCCAAAGTGCCAAACCGTCTTCTAAACCCGAATACAAAAAAAAGGATTCTGTAACAAGAGTTCACATTCTATACCTGGACTTGTGTTGCAGCTACTAGCGGACCAACTACACTGCCACCTACAATCCGGCCATCGGGTCCAGCCAAAGACACACTCAAGTTACCACTTCTGTTGGTGGAACCATTCACCTCATAATTCAAAAACGAGCCTGAGAGAGTAATGATCTCAAATCGTCCCTGGAAAACCCCACACATAAAAATCTCAACACTAAAGACACATAAAGACTACAGCTTAACACCAAAGACAGCCAAAGAACATAATTTTAAACCTCATAAGTAACGATTCCACTAGAATGAGAAGCTTGACGAAGCGTCACTCTACCAACCGCACCACTTGCAGAGAGAATACAAATCGTTCGTGGCCCTTGCTCCGAAAAAGCCATCACCTTTGACGCTATGTCCTGAATATAGTAAGTAAATTTCATAAAGATCTAACAAAAAACAAAAGCATTTAAAACTCATTCCTCCATCAAAATTCACTAAACCAAGACATTTATTTCAATCTTTTCTAATTTACCAATCTTCAACCATGAAACCAAACACATTTGCAGATTACTAAAACAAAACAACAACATTTTACCTCTCCTGTCTTCACTTCAATGACATGTGGTGTAAACCCTACTCCTGCAGTTCCTCCTACTCACACACACACACACACACACACACACACACAAACAAAACAAACCCATCAAACCAATTGCATGTAATCACAAACAAAATGTGTTAAAGATTCAAACTTTAGAGTGGTTCTTTATACCTAAAGCATCAAGCTGTTTCTTGCTAGAACCAGGAGGTCGTCCTCTGTTACGTTTAGCAGGAGGATCAGCAGAGTTTCCATTCCCTCCTCCTCCACCACTATCTCCAACACCACCATCACCACCACCGTAAGAATTAGAAGCTGCAGAGAGAAGAGGAGACGTCGGAGCTAAACCTAAAGCAATGCTACCATCAGGAGTATACTTTCTTGGCCTTCCTCGCTTCTTCTTCACTTGAAGTTGCTGATTCTGATTCTGATCCTCGATCCCGAATCGCATCGGTTGAGAAGAAGGCGATCCATCACCAAAACCAAGCGATTCAAGAGTCTTCTGATCCATTTGTTGTTGCTGATGAAAGGTTTGAGATTGTTGTTGTTGTTGATTGCTAAAAGGAAGACGATGATGATGTTGAATCGATTGAGATGTGGAAGTAGGAACCATTAATGCAGCGGCGGCGGCGTTAGGGTTACGGTAATGAGACATTAACATTCCCGGTGGTGGTTGAAGCTGGTTCTGTGACGGTGGGATATCTCTGGAATCCATTAGAGAAGGAAGGAAGAAGAAATCAAACTCAAAGATTGTTTCTTTCGGCAAAAATTTCGTAAAGATTGAAACTTTCTGTTTTGTGAATTCCGAGAAAATAGAGAAAGCGTGTGAGAGCTAACAAGTCTCTCTCTCTCTCTCTCTCTTTTCACACACATACAGAGAGAGTCTCGAGGAGAGACTAGTGAGAGAGATGAAGTGTGGCGGAAAATGTAATTTTAATAGAAATGAAATCTTTTTATTTATAGGGTTTTTTAGGAGATTTTTATTTTGTTAATTTTAACTGAATTGATTTCGTATTACTTACTTGAAGCATTCAAAAATATATTTTGGAATCTTTATTAGATCGTAGTTTGTTTTCTTTATTATCATATAAATTATAGCAAAAAAATATTTGTGATCATCTGTTCTTTTTATAAGAGTTTTAATATTTATAAACATAAATCAGAAATTAAATTGTTTAGTTTTGGGATGGAAAAAGGGTTTAGTTTACATAAAAGATAGTTTAGTTTTGATCCCAAATTTACTGACAATGTTGGAATGCTCGTAACTGCTTATAGCAAAGTAAATGTGATAATTATGAATCACGACTAAAAGGACAAAGAGAAATGGAAAAAGTTGGTTCTCTATTTATTTTATGATTATCATATGTAAGTTTATATGTCATCCATATTAGTGTTCTGCTATGATTTTTTTTTTCATCTCCATTAAAAATTTTACTAAAGAAAAAGTTTTATATGGTGAGAAAAATATGAGATTGATTGGCAAATGACAATGTCTTATGTGTATCAACTTAAGTTAAAATTTAACATTAATGATCCTAATAGTTAAAAAGCATACTCATGAAATCTTAGAAATATATCAAGACTTTATGACAAATTTTAAAGATTTCAACTCTTTATTCGTTATTCTTCAACATGAGAATCACAGAACAATAATTCTTAATCGACTAATTGATTTGAGAAAACTTTTTTTATTTGATTTGCAAACGTTATGTTTGCTACTAAAGATCAAATGTGACTCCTTTGGATTTGTAACAACTATTAGTTATTTAAACTGGATAATATTTAGATTATTTCTTTGAGGTTTTGAAGTTACGTGAAAATCTGATATAAATTACATCAAATAGAATTTTCTTGAAAAATGAAATTTATAATTTTAAAAAATGGGAACAAAAGTACCAAGTTAATCAATAATGATTTCAAAAGTTAAGTATCCTAAAACTTGTTCAAAATATGTACCAAGTCTAAAGTTTCGATGTTTTAGTGATATTTTTACTGACATTATACTATTCTTTGTGTTTGTAGCTTTTCAGAAACCTGACGTGTGATATTAAATCTTATGTTCAGAAGGTTTTTCTTAATAACTAATTTGTGAATTTAATTCTTATTGATATTCCTGCATTTGGAGTGTGTTGACAACAGAGAAGAAATGAAGCTTATATGAAGTTTCCTTTGTGGCTAAAAGGGTTACCAAAGGCTTCAGCTGTCCTCTTACCTCTTACTATAAGGAATTGAGTATGTTAGATAAATTGATATATGTATGTTGCTATATTTAAAATTAATTTACATCATTCTAAGTTTTAACATAACAACAAGTGTTAAATGGGTTGACATATTTTTCTACCTTGTCACATCTAAGAGACAAGGTGTTAAATTCTTGATAATTTGGACTAATTTTTTTTACTAACCAAATAAATTGATTTTTTTTTGTTGTTACCAAATAAACTAATTTCACTAGAAATATGTGCATTAGGTACCAAAATAGGAAACTTCATTTCTATGTCCAACAAAGACGTTGTTAGTTGTAATCCTCATATTAAGAGCTTGACCTTTTTATAGCCTCATCTTTTTTAGACCCAACTTGAAATGCAACGGATATGAAGACATGAGTGGAAATAAAATAAAAATGAGAGAAGAAGAGAGAACAGAGATCTAAGCTTGAATATATATCCCATAGGCCATAGAGATAGGCCTTGAGAAATCATGGACATGCCTTTTACATTAAACTTGTTTAATTAAATTATTAATGGAAGATATTGGTAGACATGTTTAAGACACCCTTTTGCTAGTTCAAGTACTCTGTCGAGCATGTGTCTAACGACTAACATCATTCCTCCAAATAAGATATGGCAAACAATGTTCAGATAATGTATTGCTAATACGTTCATAATTTATATCTTAAAAATGTGTCATTTAGAGCTAATACGAACTTAAGAAACTTTATGAGTAGTGAGTACATTCATAGCGCAAGACGTCAACAAACAATTTGTTCATAGAAATCTACTATACATTTTTGCAGCAGTTTTTGGGTACCCAAATCGGGTCAAATTTGTTTAATTTTGACCCGGAAATCTTCAATCGGATCTTTCCTTAAATTTTGGCAAAATTAAAAAACGAAAATAATTAATAAAATCTAAAATATATATACTTTCTCAACTAATTACTATATTTAAACGCTTTATTTATGGTATATTCTCCACGATATTTATAGATAAAGAAATCAAATATGATGATTTAATGCTAATATAACAAATTTGCACTAATTTCCTAAAACCTCTCTACCTAATTTAAACATAAATATATGATTCTTATTTCACTTTTATTTGATCTTATATTTATATTATTTTAAATTATTATAAAATATATAAATAGTTAGTAAATTTTAGTTTTTTTTTTTCTGCATATGTTACACTTCAAATTTTTTAAAACGGACATATATTACTCAATCGATGAATAAAAATATGTGTGTAATCTATATTAACATTTTTAAGAACAAATTGAGCATTTAATCATGTCGTTATTTTATTCAGACCCGAAATTAAGTCATTCGGATCTTTCTTTAATTTTTACAATTATCTAAAATGGGATAGTATATCACGGGTAAAATCCTAATTAGTATTTTAAGATACAATTATAAATTGTTTTTACGGGTTGGTCCAAAAACACACACTAATTTAAAAATATACATGGAAACTATTTGAAAGCAACTTTCAAATTAACTCGAATTATATGACATTTAAATAAAAGTGTTATTAAAAAAATAACAAAATGATGTTTAATTTTATTTTAGATTATATGGTTGGACGGGTTTGGGTCAATATTAATACGAGATAATATACCACAGGTGAAATCCTATAAATAACAAATCAAAATACAATATACAATCTTAAACACTAAACAAAACAAATACAACTTAAATTTTTTTATTTTAGATACAACGCATGTGACCCGCGGTATACAACAAAAAATATTATACACAATAAATTCATTAATTTATAAAAATAAAAAAATCAAATAATATCCTAGTGTTTAGTTATAACCTCAAAAAAAATTTCCAATTATTATTGAATATCACATAGAGAAATTTTACATCTTAAATTTCATCACAACAGCATAGTTCGATCATAACCCATACACTAATAACTGAGACATTTGGTGACTTAGAATATCAAAAATCAATGATTCGTAACCTGAAAATGGATTTCAGACTAAAATAACTATAAATAAACTCCGAGAAATCCGTATAAATCATCTAAATCAGTATGATTATCTTGAAGATGATGTGAGTAGCAAGTATCAATGATTTCTGGTTTCTTGTGGGCAGGGCACTAGACACAGTCCGAAGAAACACAATGACTCCACGTTACCATACGCGAAGTTATAGAAAGTCGATCATGCATAACCAACGACGACTGTCCACGAGAGAAATACGTACTTGGGTGTAGCATTTTTGAACAAATTTTTTTTTGTCTCAACGATCTTTGGTCCCCGAGAATTGATTTGCCCCTAAATTTGTCTTCAAAGAGAAATAGGGGAGGAACTTCTCTGAACCATGACACCATTGGTAGATGTTTTATCATTTTGTTAACGTGCAGATATCAATCTGATGCGGAGTGGTTTCGATAAGATTTAAAGCCTCCAAGTGATGTCTCTAAACTTGCCGTTATGACCATCAATGACAAACCTAAGTTGCCAACGTGAACATCATCATCAAACCAAATTAACTGCCAATTGATTTATAGTTTACAATTTCTAGTTGGTTTCTCAAGAAGTAGCAGACTTCTGATTACTTCAATTGGCAGAATTCCAAAAGATGTTAGACTATAAACTATGTTTTACTTGACTGGTTGATTAAACATTTTGTAACAAGCTTCGAACTATGCTAAAGTAAAACTAGTTTTCATTAACATATTACACCCGGTTATACTATTAAAAAATTTCACGCTCGATTACACCAAAATTAATCTACACTATATCTCGTACAATTTCACAAACAGAGGAAAAAAAACAGAAATCAATACCAAATTAAGACATAAGAAATCATATTAACACAGATATCTCTAATGGACAAAACAAACATAAACAAGGTATAAAACATATTTAACTCTTTTGTTTTTGTTTTTGTTTTGCATAAGGAACAAAAACTAGAAGCCATGAAACTTTTAAGTCTGATGTCACTGAACCTGAACTGTGTTTTATGTTCAGCATCTGATCTCATAAGATCCCGCTTTCGTTATGTATCGAACCCACTCGACCGTGTTGTAGCCACTCTTCTCCCATACCTGTCAATCATTACGGTTACCAGTCAGATCCAAAAAGTAGTTACCTTTTGATAGCTAAGTAAGTAAAGCAATCAACCTTTCCAAGACCAGAAGCAAATGAAACAAACCCAAATCACATAAAAGTTCTGAACCAGATTTAATGGCACCATGGCTTAGAGATTTCGATACTTAGCATCACATTTTTTGAAAAATGGTAGTTTCGAAAGTATGTAAATCAAGCGTACCTTGAGAAAGCGAACTCGCAAACCAGATGCTGTAAACATTGGGACCTAGAAAGAACAAAGCTAAGACGGTTAATAATCGCTTTAAACAAATCTGGTTCTATTAACAGTGCCATCACGAGAAGAAGATTGACCTGAAATTCCATTTGGATTGGTGGTCTTGTCCAAGATTTCTTCTCTCCCATTGTTGAGATCAACTCAATTTCTGCACTTAGTGTCGACTCTGTTTGTCCTGGGAATTTTCTTATCCTAAAGAGTAGAAGAGAGAAGCCAAATGATTGGTAAAACACCAACAAATAAAATTATAGAACTGAACCTGAAGGAAAATTATATAAACTTACTTCCAAACCAAGCAATCGATTGATGGATTGTATTTAGCGCGACCAGTAGTCACTTGGAAATTGGTCTTGGCTGTTTGTTTTGGCACTGGAATTT